CGAGGCCCAGTTTCTGGAAAACCAATGGCCGCTCTAGACTGACCTAATTACCAGGCAAGACCTGATTATCGGTGTTCAAATTTGAAACCCCTCCTCCTTAGATCTATCTTGATGCATAACTCTAAACACATTTGTGTTCAAATATGACATTCACTCTCAAAACACCTCATGCTGCACAATGTACAGGTGCAGCAAAAAACTGCTCTATTTTCTGCAGTGCACCGTTCAGCGACAGGTTTTCTGATGGTGGTGGGAGTAGGCTCGTTGGAAAGCCTAAACAATACCAGTTTTTGTAGTCATAGAGCAGTGGTCCCCTGAGCTACGTGCGGTTGTTATCGAGTCTTTTTTAAAAGTAATGATTCAGTCATCAAAACTCAGTGGCAGTTCCATGCATTAATTTAATTAGGTCAATCTCCATGTTGATATGGAGAGGTCCCGTTGTGATTATCTGTATGGATAATAAACAAAACTAAACAGATTATTATTCTAATGAATCTGTAGGGATAGAATTTAAACTCAAATTTGTGTAACTGAGCGGTCAGAAATGTTCAAGGCAGCCGCTTGTTTTTGGGCAGGCCTACGAAAACTGTTTACCACAGGAGCATGAACTCTATCGAATGTTAGTTGTCTGGCGTCCGATCTGACTTCAGACGGCCTGTCAGCTTCCTTTTGAACGCAGAAGCCGTTGTTCTAAAGTTAGTAACCCACCGCATGATTGTGCTACGCAATGGAACTTTTCAATGTCGCCTTAATTGAAAGAATACACAGGGTTGCTGCTGAGTTGCATTGAATGAATTCACTACTTATTAAATAGGACTCACAAACAACCACACATAGCTCAGGGGATTACTGCTCTATGACTGCATATAATGGCATTGTGTAGGCTTTCCAACGAGTCTACCCCCACCACCCTCAGACGACCTGTGGCTGAACAGTGTGCTGCAGAAAATAGATCGTTTTTTTGCCCCACCTGTATGTACGTTTTACTGAGTAGTTATGATTTGCAGACAGTCACAATGGTAGGTCTAGAGGCTCAGTACAGGACCAGTCTACAGTCAGAGCTCAAGAGGTATCCCAACATACGTGTGGAAGACATAGCGGCAGTGCAGGAGTGGATAGCGACTCAGCCCCACTTGCCTCAGATATATGGTAGGTGACTAACGTTCAATATTTAATGGCAGTACTGACAGTTTTTTCCTAATGAGATGTATTTCCAAACAGCTCAAGATAAGTTCACAATTCACTATACCATACCACTATTATGTAAATGCATTCTGGCAAGCCACAACAACTACAATTTTGTTTTAAGCAAGCTCAATCAATGAAACTTCTCTCCCTCTATCACCCTAAGGTTGTGTCTTGGTACAGTTGTACATCGATAATGTTTTGATAATCAGTTATTTTAATTTTATCATCGGCATTAATGGCTAGCCAAATTGAAGTCATTCATGAATAATAAGTAGTTTATTAGATTCAGGGTAGTGTGCATCAAGAACCACATTTGCTAGAATATGTGCGATCATCTTATGCTTACAACAATGTCATTACTAGAAAGCAAAAAGGTCAATCTTAAAATAGGTATTTTTTATAGTAGATATTTAATTTAAAAAATGTACTAAACTAATGCACCGATTCTAATTTACAATTTTTGAAATTTGTATTTGTGTTTATTTACACTTTTGTATTTTTACATGTTTTTAAAAGGAAGATCCGAACAGTAGTCTTGTTACCATCTAACAGCAACCTTTATTAACATCGAATGGCATATGGGTCCAGAATCGATCTTACATGTAAACGAATCAGTGATTTTTAGATTTAAAGACGAGCACTCAACCAATCAGCTACTTGAAAATGTTGGATATTCTTTATATCAACAACCACAAAAATGTTACAACTGTAGTGCTTTAACAATTCTACAACATCACTCATTTTAATAAATTCTGTACTGTTTCTTAGATGTTCAGATTGCCCATTTCCTACATGCCAGCTATTATGATGTGGAAATAGCGAAGAATGCTATAGAACACTACTACACATACAAAGCATCTATGACTGAGTTCTTCACAGACTGGGACCCTCTTTCAACTCGCCTTGCTGGTTACGTCAGCAAAGTATTGTGAGTAATATATGTTTTATCAAATTGTTAGGCCTGTGTAACTAAGCAAGAACAGGCAAGGAAAAGTAATGGATTTTAGCAAAAATGTCAACTTTGGTAGTAAGGGGCAGTTTGATTTATCAGTCAGTTAAGAGTCATTCGGAGATAAATAGGTCAGTATATGCATAGAGGAAGATATATTACTGAAAAAATGAAAAAAACAGAAATCTAGAGCTCATTCATTAATAGCGAGAACGAAGCAGGTGTTAGTGAATTCTGTTGGGAGGTTTCTTCTATTCCAAGAACACAGACAATGTCCATCTCTGCTTGGTTAGTCTTTTGCTCGGAAGACTCTAGGATTACTCATTCTAAAAATAAATCCATGCCAATGATGAAACATACAGACCAGGACAATTTTATTTTTTAAAATCCTTATAAACCACAAAGATTTTTCAAGTCTGAAAATCTAATTTAAATCCATACAAAACTGGTTTTGCTGAAAAACAACGAAGTCTATTTGAAACAATCAGGACATAGACACATACTTTGCTACATGAAATTCCCCCTCTTAAGTCAAGCATTCCGTGCGGCAACAATCTTCTTATAAAAACATTTTTTTCTTGGCTCCAACTTATTTGCTATACTAATTAGTTTCAAGAAAGCAGGATTATTTATTAATTATATTCATAAAAATTCATTTTTTTAAATATTTTGTGTGTGTTTTTAAGCCAGTGGTATTAGCGAATTTCCCATATAGGGAATAAGCTATTACCGTAGTACTCATGGTAAGACCTGGACGTGGGACCGATTTTTTTTTTCATTTTGAGGTCCCTAGAGGCCAAAAACACCATCCGTTCAAATTCATATATATATATATATATATTTATATATTTATATATTTATATATATATATATATATATATATGTGTCCGTTAGCACGATAACTCGAGCAAAAATGATCCGATTTTGATGAAATTAGGTACAAACGTGTAAACCTACGTTTATTTGAACGAGTTCGCGATCCAGCATGATCGGACCATGGGAACGGGGGTTTACGGGGGGTTTTATGGGGTAAAAATAGGTTTTTCCCATTTTTGACCCAAAAAACATAAAATTTAGCAATTTCTTTCCAAACCATTTTGTAGAGCTTAAAAAAACAAATAATTTAGTATATTGAAGCGTTATTATGCGCCTAATGGTTACGGAGAAAATTCCAAAAAATTGTAAATTTAAAATTCCCATGTTATTCTTATGGAGAATAAGTAAATTGTTGTAGTTTGCTTGTTTATGAACATATTTTGATCAAATTTGGAAAATGTTTTTATTTCTTACTAACTATTAACGTTTTACAAAAAAAAAAAACAGTTTTACCCTCCCTGATGCAGCAAACCTAAGTACTAGTTAAACTAATTCTATTTAAATAGAGAATAAATGTTATATTTTTAAGTAGACATTTCAGTGTAAATCCAATCAGTCAAATGGAAATTCGCTTAGTCTGCAGGTTTGCTGCGGCGGGGGTATTTTTTACATTTTGAAAGGGAACGGTCCAAATCCTGGTTTTGTTACTATCTAACGTAATCTTTTTTGTTAGATAGCATCATTAATTCATCACCCAATGACAAATGGCATTTCGGTCTGGAAACAATCTTGCTTGGATTTGAACCATCGTTTCATTCTTAAGGCGTTTCATCCTGATATATATTTTCTCAAAAGTGGCCAGTTACCTGCAAGAAATTTGTAGCTGTCCAACAATTTATTCTTCACAGTTTATGTAGTTGTACTAGGTACGCTGCTAGACCTCTACATTTTCAACCTCAGTGTCAAGAGGCTGATATGTTGTCTGATGTACTAGGTACGCTGCATTTCTGCCAAATCAGTCACCAGAGTCATGTCAGATGATCCTGCTGAGGCTAAGAGACCCCTTGCTAGACCTCTACATTTTCAACCTCAGTGTCAAGAGGCTGATATGTTGTCTGATGTACTAGGTATGCTGCATTTCTGCCAAAGCAGTCAGCAGAGTCATGTCAGATGATCCTGCTGAGGCTAAGAGACCCCTCACTAGACCTCTACAGTTTCAACCTCAGTGTCAAGTGGCTGATATGTTGTCTGATGTACTAGGTACGCTGCGTTTCTGCCAAAGCAGTCACCAGAGTCATGTCAGATGATCCTGCTGAGGCTAAGAGACCCCTCGCTAGACCTCTACAGTTTCAACCTCAATGTCAAGTGGCTGATATGTTGTCTGATGTACTAGGTACGCTGCATTTCTGCCAAAGCAGTCAGCAGAGTCATGTCAGATGATCCTGCTGAGGCTAAGAGACCCCTTGCTAGACCTCTACATTTTCAACCTCAGTGTCAAGAGGCTGATATGTTGTCTGATGTACTAGGTATGCTGCATTTCTGCCAAAGCAGTCAGCAGAGTCATGTCAGATGATCCTGCTGAGGCTAAGAGACCCCTCACTAGACCTCTACAGTTTCAACCTCAGTGTCAAGTGGCTGATATGTTGTCTGATGTACTAGGTATGCTGCATTTCTGCCAAAGCAGTCACCAGAGTCATGTCAGATGATCCTGCTGAGGCTAAGAGACCCCTCGCTAGACCTCTACAGTTTCAACCTCAATGTCAAGTGGCTGATATGTTGTCTGATGTACTAGGTATGCTGCATTTCTGCCAAAGCAGTCACCAGAGTCATGTCAGATGATCCTGCTGAGGCTAAGAGACCCCTTGCTAGACCTCTACAGTTTCAACCTCAATGTCAAGTGGCTGATATGTTGTCGATATACTAGGTATGCTGCATTTCTGCCAAAGCAGTCACCAGAGTCATGTCAGATGATCCTGCTGAGGCTAAGACAGCCCTCGCTAGACCTCTACAGTTTCAACCTCAGTGTCAAGTGGCTGATATGTTGTCTGATGTACTAGGTATGCTGCATTTCTGCCAAAGCAGTCAGCAGAGTCATGTCAGATGATCCTGCTGAGGCTAAGAGACCCCTCGCTAGACCTCTACAGTTTCAACCTCAGTGTCAAGTGGCTGCTCATGTCAGTGACTGCCCAGCTGCTAAGTGAAGGCCAACAATCAGAGTACAAGATCATCTACGATGCAGACAGCTACACAATGTCACACGTAATGAGAAACCCTCTGTCTGCAGTTAGGCATTACCTCGACTTCGGACAGGTAAGAATCAATCAGTAGTATTGTCTCTATTTTATAGCTTCCACAATTTTGTGTTAAGCATCTAAAAAAAATTCACTTGAGTAGTGGTCAATGACTCAGTCAATATTGAGACATACTACGAATCAGTAGCAGCAATGTTGTGTGTTCATGTTCCAATGGCATCATAAATAAATTTATTTTATTTAAAAATGGTTTGAATAAATTCTAATTTTGTTGTGTTAAATTTTAAAGGAATAATGCAGGTTTTTTAAATGTAAAAAAGGATTAAAGAGTATAAAAGACTGATATATATAAATTTCAATAGCCTAGCATAACGGGATGTCAGTAAACTTAGATAACATTGTTAATCAAAGTGAATACTTAGCTCCAGAGATAAGATTGCAGCACTTTGGGAGACTCATAAAACTATTGCTCCCGTAAATCATGTTCAAAAACTTTACAGTTTATAAATACAATTTGTTACATCTTTTAATAATTTATTAAACTTAATGAAATTTGCAATAGGCCTACAGGCAATGTGAGGATGCAAAAGATATTTTCCTCTTTGTCAGACAATAGGTTTTGTAAAAATGTCATTCCATTCAAGGTTTAGAACATGACTTATAGTCTACCTTTGTTAGCTGAATAGTACTTCATTAGGGTTTCCACTTTGAGTTATGCTAATTTGCTTAACATTCCTAGAAAACATTACAATACTGTGTTCATATGCAGATAAAAAATGTTTTCTACACTATATATTTTATACTGTAATGATTATTCTTTTGTAAATCTACATTTCAGAAAGCATCGGCCATTAGGGTGGTGGAGATCCACTTCATCAATTCAAGTTCAGTTGTAAAGAAACTCATATCACTAGTGAAACCATTCATGAACAAGCACATCATGAAAATGGTAAATACTAATTCTATTTATATTTTTAAAATGAATAACTATCTAAATGGTTACAATAAAAGGTAAAATAACTGAAAATCTTTTTGTTTTTGTTACCTTGTGAATTTGGGATATTCTGAGGTACTTATTGTATTTCCTGATCATTAGTCATTAGCGAAAGGTAACTTAATGTAGATAACAAGATTAGCACAGACATTACGGTATTTGACTTGTTTTGTTTTTCTACAGCTAATTGATAATCTCTGCATTTATCATCTTCACAAAATTTGACAAATAGGCTTATGTTTATCTTGGTAATTGTTGACAAGCAAAGTGAAAGTACCTACTGGTGAAGATCTAAGATAATTCCAATGTATCACTTTATAAAATAAACTGAATTTAGCTGGATAAAAATAATTTATCAATAATTAAAACTGATGGTAAATTAAATTTTGGTTTTCAACACTTTTTGATTAAATGTATTTAGTATAGGAGTTATAGGGATGCTGCCTTAGTTTAGAGATTTGAAAGTTATTTATAATTGGCAAGTATATTAAGGCTTGGAATATAAAAACATACAAACAATAAAAGCTATTGTATGTACACTATTGTACTTTTTTAAGAAATAAACTTCAGGCTGAAAAGCCTGGAACTGGCTTAGACCTACTATAGGCCTATGGAATCAATTTCAAACTAAGTTTCCTTATTCAATATAACAAGAGTCAAAGCTTATATTTAACTTAAAATTTTGAATAACAAAAAAAAATTAAAAATTTAATTTATGAAAGCTATTTACAATTTCAGCTACATTTCCACACCTCTTCTGATGCCTTCTTCAAATCCCTTCCTAAGGATCAGACTCCAAGTGATTACGGTGGAACTGCACCCAGCTTGGATGTACTTACAGGTAATTTGGCTGATAAGATTGCTTACCAAAGTGGAATTAAGAATCATAGTTATATTTTTTTGGCTTTTGAGTCATATGAGTCTTTGATTAGTGTAAAAGTAAATGTTGTGTGTCATAAAGGTTGTGATGTGTGACTGTCTTTTAGAAACTAAGGATAAATGTCTTTAGGAGGTGATTTAGTTACATACTGAACAAAGACTACTAGGAATATCATAACATCTACTGCATGGATCATGTAAATTATTTTAAGATTCAACTGCAATCCAAACATCTCTTTAGTGATGGGGTTTTAAAACAATTATAGCCTACCTAGTGGTTTATTGAAATTAGTTTAAGGAGAAATATTATATTTTTTGTCAGGGTATTACAAATTTTTACATAAACTACATCTAATTTAGGCATCGGGAAAAATTTAAATACATTGGTATCAGTACTGAAGCTCGTGCATTTAAAAGTGTGGCTTTTTCATAACTAAATGGCCATTCAAAATTACTTTTTTAAATCTTTCCTCATAAAATGATAACTAAGAGATAGACTATATCTCTTTAGCTATTTTTAGTTAAACAATTAATCAAGGTATTAGGAGAAAAAGTTCTACATTTGAAAATAAACATGGGAAAGTTATAGTTGACAATTGAGTAGATCGTTTGCAATGATTGTGGTATGTGATGAGGATAAAATTATGTAGTATAGTTGAATCATTACTAAGTGGGAGGGTTTTTGAGAGAGTTCACAGACAACATCAATTGTTGTGTATGTCAACATCAATAACTCATATGGCTAGTCAATGTCACAGTATGTGTCATAGGTATTTTAAGCAAAGTATGAATGGAGATGAGTGTAGGATGTAATTGCAATTTACGAATTGGTCTAATTATTAGGATAGTACTGTGTCTTAGTACCGAACCATGGCTCGGTCCCCAGGTACTAGGTATAGATGTGAGCTCTAATTATGCTTGATTTAATACTATGGTAATTAACACACAGATAATTATTTTTCAAATAAAAAAAAACATTATTGGCAATAACAACAGGAATATAGTCTGACTTTTGTTATGAATACTTTCTAACACCTTCAAAACTGATCTCCTAACATTAGTTTTCAAAGGATTTTTTTCCAAGTTTGGTTTTAAAAATTTTCAGGTTTGATTGAAAAAAAAAAAAAAATAGAGTACAGTAGTGGAAAACATTAAAAGTTGTGAGAATGTTGTGTAACATATTACTAATTAAGTGTAAGTGTGGGTACAAATATGGTTAACCAATTTTGGATTTGTCTTTCAGCCGAAAACACAAAACGTGTAGAAGAGATGAGAGAAGCCCTGCTTGCACACAACCAACAGAAAGTGGACGAAAGTAAGAGAATTGGAAAGAAGAAGAAATCTAAAGTGGAGGAAGACTTTAAAAAATTGGAGATTGACTAGTTGCTCGAATCGTAATTGAAGATTTTAAAAGACAAATAGTTTGATCTTAATTAATTCTGTTAAGCTTTGACAACCATGTACAGTACATTGCTCAGTAAATTTATTTTCTAATATGTGTTGAACTTAATTATTTTGCCATAAAGTTATAGATGCCATCAATGTGGTAAATAAAAAAAAAAATCTAGAGACCAACATGAATAATTATGAGGTACCTTACCAGAATTAAAAGGATAGTTGTTTTTTAGCGGACAGCAATAGTGGTGAAATTATTTAAGCTAACAGAAAAACATTGTTATGGTGTAAGAGTTAATTTACATTATTTTTCATGTTGCATCTCAAAAGATAAACAACTATTCTGGTAGCTACTGATTCAAATCAAATTAGTTAAAAATTGGCTCTAGCATTCAAAGATTAGAAACAAAAGCACAAATTAAAGTAAAGCACCAACTGCCAGCTGACCTAGAGAAAAATATATTTTCCTTCAGTTAGATTGTAATATCATCGGCCATCACACCGGTAGTTTTGCAAGCGCATTATTATGGAGTAGTTGATTTGACAATCGACTCTTTGGCTCCGTCGTTGAATTACACTCGCCGGGTTTTCACTTTACAAGGTCAGTTTTAGTCATTCCGTCAGTCGGTTTGAGAACCAAGAACCAACAGAGAACGAAATGGCGGCAGTGACTCAGATTATTATCCCAAAAACGGGACTCTTAGACCACGGACGGGATTAAAATTGGATACATAAATTTGACATTCGGATTCGAACCGGGTTCGATAACGGCTGTAAATTTGAGATTCGGATTCGATCCGGGTTCGGTTATGGTTGTAAATTTGAGATTCGGATTCGACCCGGAACTAATTAAAATATTCAGATTCGATCCGGATTCGGTAAAATCTGTACAGCTATGATTCGGATTCGGATTCGAACCAAAATTTCTGGATTCGCACAGCCCTGAAAATGATACAAAGTTTTTTTTTCAGGAATTCATTGCCCGGTTTGTCTTTTGATTGTCTTTTTCCACTTAGAAACTTTGAACAATCAAAAAGATAATTTAAATTAGGCCTAACCACAATTATTTAGCATTAACTTTATATTATATGCTAGGGACCAGGAGAAATATTGTAATTTGAATAAATGCCATGATTTGCATTTTTAAATCAAAATACAACATTGCGCAATAATTTCCGAAAGTGCTGTTTCAGAAGAGAAAGACGACAATTAAAAATGTATATTCCCGTCACAGTTGAAAACAGTTATTTTTTAAACCTAACTAGGATTACCTTCATAGCAGTGAAAGCCAGTTGAGCGGAGAAATAATTTTTCATGGTTTTTAATAAAGCAATAAATAAAAAATGTGTATAGATCCAATACAAAATACAAATGTTCCCACACTCAGTCTTCTTACGTTGTGGACCTGTTTTCCTCCCTTCCCATAGCATTTTAGGATTGCCGATACATTAATCTAACTGCCACAATCGGTTCCCACACTCTGCACTGCCAGCGTTTACTACTTCCTTCACAACTTCCTACGTCGTGGACTTGTTTCCCCCCTTCCCATAGCATTTAAGTATTTTAGATACAATTATCTAATTGTCACTAACGTTTCCCATACTCCGCACTTCTCACCTTTACTAATTTCTTCACCACTTCCTGTTTCAACCTGTTTAAGTTAGCCTTTTTTTAGATGGATCTATGAACGTGATTTACCGACAAATTGTTTAAGATAAAATGTTATTTGTTATAACCTTATTTACCTACGTAAATCAGATCTGTTAAATACTGTACTTAAGAAAGTATGTTTTATCTATGACTGTAACTATTCGATCAGTGGTCGTTTCCAAATTGCGACTTAAATATAAACCTAAGACTTTCTCTGTATTATTTAATCAGTTGCCATCATCCAAATGTTTTTCCTTTGTACTGTGTTTAGGTCGTGGCTTGATTTTAACATATGCTATGATTCTTTGTTTTGTTTACATTTACGTCGTTATTTTGTAACCATCATGGCAACCCATAAGGTCAATGTTAAAATTTAAAAACTTTTGAATTACTTTAAAATTATATAGGCACTATCAAAAATGGAAATTGGCAAAGTCTAAACCATCCAAACATTTGACAAAACAACCTACGTAAGTTTAACTAAAATATGTTCAGCCATTATTGAGATTAAGTGTTATAAAGATTGCACTGATGTTTATCCCAAAGAACTTCGCTTCGGTCCGCTCAATTAGATAACTCATAAAATAACAACATAAAAAAGTAATTATTATTTCGCTTTCTTCTTCCATTCTTTCTTGGGTTTCCCTTTATCATTTTCTTCATCGCATTCAACAAGTTGCCATACTACTAATCAGTAGTTGGGGGTACTAATCACCCCATTAGAGACTATGAAGCATTATGTCCTTATCAGCCTAGATTGAACTATCACTTATTGATAACAACAGCATTTTTATGAGTTTTATATTTTATTATTAAGTAGCTATTAGAGGGTAATAATTAACATTTAAATAACAATATACAACTATCTTTTTTAGGACTGAAATATATGTTAAAGAGTTGAAGGAACCGTCGTACTGAAGAACTGACAATTTACGACAGTTCTCAGTCCCGGTTATAACCCAAGAACTGTTGGATCCAAGAACTGTCTTTGTTTTTGAAAATAAGTCTATTTCAATATTTGATATTCAAACAAAATTTAGAACGTTTGGTTTGGTTTATATGCAGCTATAAATTTTTTTACTGTAATTGACCACACTTCTTACTTTTTCTCTGTGAAGTTTTTGCTCTGTAGTGAAACGGTGCACCATCAATCTAAAATATTTCTTTCAAATCTTTGCTGTCAAAAGTAAAATAAAAATTATTTTTATAATGTCTTGGCTTAAAAAGTTACCATCCTCGCTTGTTTGGATGCTCGGCAGTTTAGGTAGTCACACGCTACTCCCTTCTCCGCCATATGCCTTGACTACAGCTGGTGTGTGGTTTACATTGACAGTCTATGTCACTCCGTAGTCACTACTAAAGACAAGCAACAAGCAACAAACAAGATGAGTACTCACTCGGACTCTCTGCTGAGGAGGGCTCGAGTACTTTGTTGGGCAGTTTGGACAAGACCTCGAGTGCGAGCGCAGGACAGCCGGCCTTGAAGTGAGCGTGCGCCGTGGTGAAGTACAACTGGCGCTCAAGTGGTGTGATGGAGTCTTCCAGTGTCAACTGTAATACAAGTCATCTCTTATAAAAATCCAATAGTATAATGTTGCAGTTAAAAGAAAATTCTATAATTTAAAAAACCTAAATAATATTTAAATTTGCAGAGTACTGTAGATTATTTTCTACTTCTAGATTTACAGCAAGTAGGTGTTGATTTGTTAGACTATATATATATTCTAAGAGGCAATATAACTAGTTAGGTACATAACTCAAATATTATCTATTGTAAAAAACAACACATTATAAAAAAATGATATTCAAATTTTATTTCTGAAAGATGTGATTGTAACGCGATCAAATGGGAAGATAATTATCTTTAATAATAGTCTTTCAAATAACAATTCAATACGCAAGATACCTCCATGATACATACTATTTTGACTGTCAAAAAAGAGGAACGAATTCACAAGATTCCTCGCCTTGCCCCTAATAAATAAGAAAAAACAGTATGGTGCAATCAAAAACATCACTCTACAAACAGCTGAATTTCAGTAAAGTTAAAGTTTAATTACGCTGATTTATTAATTTCCTAGCATCCCATTTCAAGGGGATGCTTATTATTAATTTCCTGACTGACCAATAGTCATAAAGTCGAGTCCTTTCTATACATTAGCACACAACAAAGACGTTAAAAAAGCAACAACTGAACTCACTTGACGGTCAGTCTTCTGCTGCTTGCCAGAGGCAGTTTCCAGCCCATAGCTGAACCCTGATAACACAACAGTGTGCTTCTTCTTATCCTGATAAGAAGCTGCCAGGTACTGTCTTATCAGTAGAGGGTGTGTGCGTAGATAGACGTAAAAGTTGAACACATTAGGGTTGGCTGAAATAAACAAAGTAAATAAGTACCTGATGAACAATTTGAATCGTAGATTATAACTCAATTTCATAGTTCTAACTATTTAACTATTTTCAATTTTGTAGTTAAAAAGTTTTAACACTAATTTACTTGAAAATTATGTCCCATCATTTTAGTTTTTTCAGTTTAGTACACATAAAATATTTTAAAATCCTGCATATAGAAGAGTCCAAAATCTAATGGGAACATGTTTCAACTAATAGATACCATAACATGGTACAAAATATTGGAGGCTAAAAAAATTGTAGGCATATCTGCATGGGAGTGGGTAATATAGTGACGATTAATCAAGATTTTGCTGTATAAGTATAACACTAAAACAAAACACAACATAATTTACTTTGGGAGAGGTGTAAAAATGTTTTGTACATGAAACTTTGTCAGAAAAATAATTGTCTGGGTGACCACTTGGCTATTATAGTGCTCGCCTTCAAATGTGAAAGTAACTAGTTCGACTCTAAGCAAAATTGTTACCAAACCCAGATGCTACTTGTCATTAGTCTATCAATTAATGATGCTGTCTAACAAAAATATAGTCATTAGATAGTTACAAGACCAGGGTTTGGACCATTCGATTGTGATTTTGGACACAAGGGATGGCAGCGAGCTTACCTTAAAAAAAAGGCCAGGTAGAAAATAGCATACACAGAAAATATAATTTTGTCCAACATTCTTTGTCTACACATGACACAGTCACCCAGAGGATGAAGTGCTGTGTCATATTCTGTGTAGCATACACTGTGGCCTACCAGGACTTTTCTAAGCTAGCTAGCAAAGTCTCTTTTAATGAATGTGTGTGTAATGTTGGCATACCTGATGTGCCTTCTGGCTTGTCGTCGTGGTAGAGGGGATGCATGCTGCCCACATTGGTCTGTAGCAGTGTGTTGAGACTGCCCTGATGCTCCTTCAGGATCCACAGAGCCATGGACCTCAGGAAAGGATCAGGATGGGCCTGGGACAGATTCTGATTCTCACCCTTCGAGTCGCAACCGAGAACCTCCTGTCAAACATAGATAATTTCGTCATTTCATTTGTTGCTAGTCCATCCTAAGCTGTAGGATCACCTATGGAAAATTGGGCTGATCTCTTGGGTGAGGAGAAAGAGCTCCTTCTATAGCTGTCTGACAACAATAATTAACAATTTTAAAACTCAAAACTTTGTAAAGACATTTAAAAATTATCAAAACAAAACTTGTGCTAAAGAAAGAAAACCCCGTTAACAAAAGCAATTAAATAAACAGGTAAAAATTCCTCAAAACCTAAAAAATGTTATATTGACTTACCTCATGTAGTAATCGTTTTAGACTAGGCGGAGTCGAGTCCATATCACCTTCATATAGTCTAGTTATGACCATGGCGAGTTGCAGGTCTTCCAACTTGTTAAGGCACACCTGAGGACAAGATTGAGTGAGACATGTTACTCAGAAACGGTGGTAGTATTCTATTTTTTGTATAATAACCTTTGATAATCATTCAAGTTCTTTTGTATTGTAAAATTAAATATTTAATCCAATTGGTACAGCCAATCCCTAAGTCGTGGCTAAGTTACTTAAAATGAAGGTTAGTTTAATTAAAAAAAAACCCTGCCAAATACAGTAGTACCCCGCTAATCCGACCTTGGCAAGACCTACTCCTCACTTACTCTGACTATTTAATAGCCTATCAGTGACAATGTTATCACAGTAATATTGTGACTATTTGCCATGATTGTGTGGAACCGTTACCGTCTACCGCAATTTGTGGCAAAAATCTTGTTTATCCCCAGAAATCACAGAAAACACTTTAATCGTTTTCCGCGATCACTGAATTATTTATGGTCATCCTCCGCGATCGAGGCAAAATATTGAATGTCTCCCAGTCACAGGAACATTATCATTGTCTTCCGCAATCGTGGTCAAATCCCAGAGTCCCATAAAAAATCATCGTCATTTGGTTTGCAATCGTGATTAAATATTTAACAACTCTCGAACTTGCAGGGACATCATTTTCATCATTAGCAATCACAAAACCGTATCATCGTTGTGGGTTTATCTGTAAAAGCAGCAAACTCATGAATAACTCCTGCGGTAAAGGGAACATCATCGTTTCTGGGGATCAGGGAACCTATCATCGTTATCTGCGATCGCACCAAACTCCTGAACATGTTTTGCAGTAAAGAAAAAATCATTGTTGTCTCTCGCTATCATGGCAAAATATTTAACGTCTCTTCCGGTTACGGGATAATCTTCATTGTCTACCAAGATTTTGTGCGATCAATAAATGTCAGTTAAGCTCATTAATTTTGTTAGCTATAGTCTACAATAAGACGTCCTTTCAATTTTACTTGGTAAACATTATCATATTTGATAGAAATGAGTAATTTACAGAACATCAGCTCACTCTTTGACGATAGCTTAGTTCAACTACTCACTTTTAATCTAAATCTGACTATTACTGGTATATGGTAATGGAATATCTAGTTCTATAAATAGGCAAAGAGACAACTGACAAATATAGGAGGGCCCAATAATATTCAAGTCTAGTCAATGGTTAAATATATGCTAAATACTTATTTCTCCTCACCTCGATAGCGTCCCGCAAGGCTCCAGCCAGCAAGAAGAAGGCAGCAGCGTGTTCGAACCTCTGCTTTCCCAGAAGAGCAAAAGCATTTTTCAGCGCCGCTTTACGCCATCTATCCTCCTCGAAGTTGTTGGAGAAGAAGCTGGTCATGCGGTCGTCTCGCCGAGAACGAAACAGAGCCCACACCAGTGACTTCTTCTTCATGGCCAGATAGAAGATGGCTGCGTCCAAGGGATCCTGGTTGATCTGGTACGACGCTTTCGCCACCTGCAAACAACAACTATTTTATATTTTGGATTCTGCTTAAATTATTTAAACTAAAAGAGGAAATTTTTACTAAGCCTAAAGGTAACAGCTAGCATTATGTCTAAAATCAACTATCCAAGATCAAATATTAAATTGTTGCATACTACACCTACACCATGTACCCCAATTTCCCAACCTGTCATGTGAGCAGGTATTACTGTGAAACTTGTGTGTCCGAATGGACTTTTGTCTGTATGCGGTTTTGAAAACTATGACACTGCTAGTACTTTTCAAGCATCATAGCATTAGTTTCAGCAAGTTGTTGACAGGTGAAATTGTTGTGGGTTAACAAGAACTTTCCTTTTTAAATTTATTCTTATTACAGGTTTGTCCACTGTAATTTTGTAAGAAGTTGGAATGACCAAATTAAAAATAGTTAAATAATCCCTGGGGTTCAAATGAGTTAATATTGTACGCTGTAAAGCTGTAACTATGACTGACCTTCTCCATGCAGGTCTTGAGCAGCGTGTGATTCCTCAGCCACCAACCCACACCCAGCTCCTTGAGAGTGCTCCACCGAGGCGACCCCTTGCTGTACGAGGGGATCAGGTTCAACAAGTCCTCTTCACTCTCAGAGTGGAACGCCCACACCAGGTTGTTGGTAGCCACACCTGTCAACATTACATACATTCTGCTAGAAAAATATTTATAAAGAAATTTATTTTAATAATATTTCTAAATAACTTCTTGAATATTTCTAAGACTTCAAGTTTTCATCTGAAACTTGACTATCATTCCAACAGGGGATAAATAATAAATAGTATAACAAAATATCAGTATGTTTGTGTTTTCTTATCTAACTAACACTCAAGGTGTGTCATGTGAACTAAACTATATCCACCCTATATAAACAATTGCCACAAAAAAAATCCTAAATAAGTCCCTAAATAGCCTTAAATCATCAAAATTGACTACAATTAATTTATACTGTTTTATTATAAATATTGTTCTACCTTGAATTAATATTGTACTTAATATTGTAAAACGTTGTGTGAAAATAAAAGATTGACGACTTGAATTGATTCACATGTAATAAGGCCATTCTATTTAAAACATTTAAACAATAGGCTATTTTTACTAAATGGAAATTAAATTATCATGTTGCTTTTTAAGTAAAAAGTTCTTTGGCACAGAAAGAGTTTCTTTTATGAAACAATAATCTCTTCTTTATAAGCCATTAAATACGATTACCAGGATTTGGACCTAAGACCATGATGAAGAACCACACCAGAAGACAATATGCCTTATCTTAAAACACCAAATCAAATACCCAAATTTATTTTATGCCACTTATTTCTGACTACTCTTCAGTAAATTTTTTTAACTTATTCAAACAGATACTCCAACTGACCTTGTTTTTGGAACTTGGCCCTCTGTGCTAGTGGAAGACATCTCAGCAGGTAGTTGTAGTGTTTCATGGCTAGCAAAAACCTCAATCCGCAATCATCTAGCGAGTCTGACAACCACCAATGCACATAAGATTAATAAATTGAACATTAATAAATTTAACTAATTGAAAAGAAAATGTGTGAACAAAAATTATAAATAAAATCATATTTTGGTTGCCGCAACTTCAAGAGGCAGTTGAAAGCCGTGACAAAACATTCATCCAATACACCAAGTTGCAGACCCTGATTTTAAGAGGAAATGCACAAATATTTTTCATCTCTTCACAATTTAAATTAATTTATCCCACCTACCCCTACAGCATGTCCATTAAAATGTTGCTCTAGTCCATAACTGATACTGATAGCATCACAGAGAAGGAGACACACTGTAACCTACCAAAATCCACTTCACACACATCTTGGCTCCAGTGTTTCCTAAAGCTTACAGACATGGTGGCTTACAGACATGGATTGTTTTAACGTTTATTATTATTTATTTATTTATTCAAGAGTAGTGTAGACAATAATAGTGTAGAGACAGTACTGTAAGTTACTGGCTGCAAGTACTTGCCAATTCCACTTACATGCTTGACAACTTGCATGACACTTTTCTTGGTAAGTCTGTAGTAAGTGCCAGAATCATGCCGTCTTCTTTCTCTGTCTATAAACCGCCTAAGGTTGATAGACTGATTTGAGGGATGCTACAAAAATTTCAAAAGGTATCCCCCCCACAAAAAAGGAACCTAAGAACTCTTCAATGACGAACTTAAAATTATTTTACGAAGAATTGCAGGTACACAATGGTTCAGACCCCTCACCTGATGAGGCTTCTCCCTCTGGTAGTCCCGACAGATTTTCTTTGGCAATGGCAGACTTGGCAGCGTCTATGGCGAACCTCTCAGAGAAGTCGGTGTTGCAGGTAGACACTGTATCAGCCAGAGCTAACAGATGCATCTGATCCAGACTAGAGAGGCCGGGCAGGTGAGTGTGTGTCAATAGACGGGACAACAGACGACCCTGAAATATAACACACAAACACAATTACAAATTTATTGAAGTTTATTTTGGGTGGTAAGTTTTATTATTCAAATAATTATTGTAGACTGGTCTTGATTACTCATGTTAGTAGTGTTGCAAAGATTAGTTTTTCTTTCCTCATAGTAAGGGTGGATGGTCCACTCACTAAAGAATCACTAAACTTAAGCTTCACACTAAACTTCACACAGGGCGAGTTTACAAGCTACACGCCGGTTTTTTTACACGCAGCTAGTAAAATAGCTCAATGTGAACGACGTACTCGCTCAAAAGTTGCTTGTAAAAAAGCTCTGGAAAAAGTTGACGCTGCCGCTACTTTACACGCCAACTCGCCAGCTTTTGAGCGAGTAGGCGTGTAAAGTAGCCCAGTGTGAACACAGTTGCTTGTGCTTGTGCACATTTTATTCAAAGATGTCGGAGGATTTGGTTCAAGCTAGCTACTGACTGAGTGGAAAAAGCATCGTGTGAACAACTACAAGCGCACTCGCCAACTTCTTACACGCTGGCGAGAAGCTTCTAAACTCTCACCGTGTGAACGAGGCTTAAGCAATCTACCTGTCTAGGTCCAAAGTGACTGATGGTGCATTGTTTCTCTGGGTTGGCAGACTGTCGTCTGTCACATCTCCTTGGACCATCCTCGTCTTCTTCCTCGTCTAGTAGATCGTCCAATGATGGCATCGCCACATTTCCGTCAAACAGCTGGTTGTAGTCCTGTTGACAATGGTACACATTTAACTTCTCTGACACCCTCTTTAATCCCTCATTGATTGACCTTAGTTAGATAGAAAGTAAAACCTGCACTAGCACATCTTGAAACATTGTTTCTTTTGTGGCTGTGGAGCCCCACACAGTCCATGATGGATAAGGAGTAACAGTTGTGGAACTTTGCATACCTGTTGATCATCAGCCGCAGCCTTGGCAGGAGTCTCCTTGTCAGCAGCCAGTAGAGTCCACAGAGGCAGTGGAGGGATGGACGTTATCTCTGCATAGTCCAGTGTCAGTTCCTCAGGGATGGCGGTGGTCGACCCTCTCTGCTCCAACGGACTAGTGGTGCCTGACATAAACAAGTTACTTTATTGAAATGGAGGTTCTCTGACAGATGGGGAATGATATTAAAGGAATTTTTGCAAACATTTTCTATTACAATTGGTAGAAGAAACAAAGTTTTAAGGACTTTGTGACGGTGCAATTTCGTCCTGGGACAAAATTGTACTGTCGGCCTCGGATAGCTAATCTAATTGAGTTAGTCCAGGGTTAGTAGTAATAATAATAGTTAAGTTTTAAAATATGGGCTCAGATATGGTCGTTAAAGCATCAGCTTTCAGTGAATGACACATTCATCACTGCCCGGGTTAGGCCCTAATTTAAACAAATTAATAATTAGGCGTTAATTCCGTGAGTGAAACACTGCTCGCAAATAAACTAAAATATTAACTTCGAAAATAAAATAAAAACTTCTAATTAATGGATTTACCGTGTTTCACTCTTAGAATTAAAACCAATTATACTTACAATTAACCGATTCGATTGTCGCCCTCAGCCTAACACCTACTATTCGACGACACCAGAGTTATTTCACCACTGGCCTCGACCTACGGCTTCGCGACGGATATGCGCGGATCCGAGAGCTATTCCGCCCTCTGCCTAACACCTAGGTTTCGACGCTACCAGGGTTATTTCACCACTGGTGTATTTACCCGGCTATTCCGCCCTCGACCTATCGTCTCGCGGTCCGAGAGCTATTCCGCCCTCAGCCTAACCCTAGTATTCGACGCTTCCAGGGTTATTCCACCACTGGTTATTACCGGGCTATTCCGCCCTCGACCTAAGGTTTCGCGATATATACTCCACTCCACTTACCAGGGAGAGATGTTGCTAGCTATTCGCCCAGCGCTCAAGTAAGTCATTAGCCCTTGTCCCGTGCTGCTTATATAGGGGTCGCGACGCTGGTGCAGTGCGTGGCCGCTCGGTGAACCACAACCCCGCGCTATTTGAATCGCGAACGGCAACGGTCCTACACTCAATATTTAACCGTTACAACTTTCGATGTTTGTTTTCTTATTATAGTAGAGTACTCGTCCACTCCTACAGCTATGATTCAGATTAGGATTCAACCAAACATTTCTGGATTCTCACAGCCCTGATTACCTTGTTTTTAGCAAATTTTTCACAAAGGTAATAACGGATAAGCCATTACTGTAGGTCTCGGTATGACCTGGACCCGGGGCCGAATAACTTTTTTGTTTTGAGGTCCTCAGAGGCACACCGTCCAATCAAATTCATAAAAATTTAATTATCAACTCAATGGTTGTAATTGATGGCGGTTGAAGTAAAGAACAGCAAATCAATAGTCTGTATGCAAGATGATGGGCTTCAACATGATAAACATTATTATACCGTACATTTTACTTGCAAGAAATATATTTTATTTTGGGGTAGTGCGTAGTTTGCAGTGTGGTTAATCCACTTGTGGTAGTGATGGGCGATACGGACGCGTATCGCGATACAGCGATACGATACGTATCGGAAAAAAATATCGTATCGCCGTATCGAATCGGGCGTCTGTATCGCGATACGCGAATCGTATCGTCAAAAATATCGAAAAACGATACGTATCGTATCGTTCCCCCCCTCCCCTACCTAACCTAGAAACGGCAAATTTATATAAGTACCTGGGGACCAAGCTTTGCTCGGGGAAACTATTAGTTTACTCTGAAAACAGTCTTAGTATTGCAGATACATTAATCCATTTCCACACTCCACACTGCTCGCCTTTACTACTTCCTTCACAACTCCCTACGTCTTGGACCTGTTTCCCTATCCTTCCGATAGCATTTTAGGATTGCAGGCAGCTGGCAGATCTAGTGCTAGATAGCACGTTAGTGGAAATGGACTGGATTGGGATGGGACTGTTACATTATCAAGTAAAAACCAAAAATACAGACGTCAAAAACTCCTATTTCAAACTACATATCCACAGAGTACAGATTTTGCAGTTTGCTCGGCCTGCGCAAAAAAAGCTTTAAAATATCGTTTTGACATGAATCGTATCGCTCTATGTGCCGATATAAATACAAATATCGTTTTAGGCGATACGATACGTATCGTTTTTCAAATATCGTAGATTCAGTTGTTTTATGTAAATACAGATGTATTAGTTTTATCTATTAGTTTTAAGTCTTTATTTAACCATTGACAATATGTCCTGTTATTATAATGTAATGACATGTAACTCAATAAATAAATAAATAAATAAATATCGTCCCTCGCGTATCGCGATATTCCGATACGATACGATACGTATCGCACATCACTAACTTGTGGATAGTTTGCAGCATGGTTAATCCACTCGTGGATAATCTGGAGTCTACTGTAATTTGTTAGAGGACTGGCATAACTGGGAGAAGTGGTATAATCCTTTAAAAAATGTTTGTTTTGTACAACCTTGGAAGTAAGTGTGTGGAGATAAGATAATGTTTGTTACGTAAATAATTAAGCATTTTTGTGCCAGTTTGGAATAATTTTCTTCATAGTGCCATGAATAATTTTTTAAACAAAACGTAAGGGAACATTTTCCACTAAAACACTATCATATTCACCTGCTGCGTAACTGACAGACAGAGTTCGAGACCTTGACCAGCCTCTCTGACGAGTAAGATTTTCTTCATCAGTGAAGGTGCAAACCACAGCTCCCTGTCTGACAGTGCAAGTGCCAGAGATACACCTGCAACATAGGTTGTATCACAACAGAACATCTACATAAACATAGTTAGAGATAATCAAGAACATTTAATATAGTGTTTTACTCTCTCAACAGTTTACCCAGGACAACTGAGCTTCTTACATAGTCTCTTGGTAGACATTTACTTTTCTTAAATAATCAAGAGTTTACGGGGAAGATAATCAGAATTATTTTGAGATAGTTTGTTGAAATATCTCTAACAATCTTTTCTCCACAATGTTCTCAACAATTAAAGCTTATAGCAACAGTGACAAAAAAAATGGGTTTACTATCTACTTTATACAGGTAAAAAAAAATGTTAATACTTTGGGTACTTTCAAGAAAATGCTTGTTATTTGGGAGGCAATAAACTACATCACACTCTTCAGTTTTTGTTATTTCAAATAAAAAAAGGTCTTCCTAAGTAATTAATCCTCTTGCAAAAAAAAAAAACAATGACGAGATTATTACAAATTCACAAAAAATTGTGGTTTGGTTTGTTTAAAGGTTATTATAAAACTGCATATGAGCCATGTGGTCATCATGGATCAAAATCCAACATGTTTCAAACCGGCGGGACGATTGAACAACGCAGCGGGACAACGGCAGCGGTGCTGCTCTTGTGTGGGTGCTCATATTTATCATCATGTGTTTTAAAATCCCGTGCGGGAATACGTCCCGCTCCCGCAGTTGTCCCACTCCGGTTTGGACGAGCCTTAATGACAATGTGTGTTTCAAAAATATTGGGAAGATACCCTACTTACAAAATATTCAAGTTGTGTCTAATATACTCGTACCCTTAGAGAAAGCCCAAAACTTTAAAAACCCACTATGTCACTTTTCTAATCTACACACCTTACAAGATGAGCGAGAATAGCTTTCACCCATCTTATCTTGCCAGAATTGAGTAGTTCCATTAGCTGTTTGGGATGGTACTGAGGCAGCACGGGACATGCTATCCTTGAAGCTTCAAACAGACCATAGTCTGGCATGTAGGAGTCCATTGTGTTGGCTTGCTCTGCTGGTGCTGGGCCTGTAAATACATTAATTACAAACCGCTGTAATACCAATAACATCTGGAACCTTTTTATTTAGGGATGGACGAGATTGAATTTTCAGTTCGGGACCAGCGAGACGGGATTTTTATTTCCTTCCCGTTTTTCGGGACGGGACAGGACGGGATTTTTTCCTGTGAATAAGGGTTTTTTTATAAAGTCTTGAGTTGTCAAAAAAGACAAAACAAAATCAATGTTTACCGTTTGTGGCACTGATCTATAAAAAACCAAAATATGGGTAAACATTTACAGGTATAGAAACTTGTGACTTGTGGTCGCGGCGTGATCGTCAAAATGATTTGCGGTCACGGTGCGATCGTCGAAAACTTTGATTATTGATACAACTAGACATCCCATCCCCATTTTAAAGTTGTCGGTAGTTTTTTAATCAAAATCATCATATTTGATGTGAGCCACCAATAGAATTTGCGTTGGGAAGTCTCCTGCAAAGAAGTAACTCGTGTCACAGAAAAAAATGGAAAATAACCATAAAAAAATGTGTGCTGATTTAAATTACAAATTTCAAATTTCTGTCAAATACACAAACCTTTTACCAAGTCAAACCGATGGAACGACTTACTGTGAGCTATAGCTACATTTATGACCTATCAACTATATCAGCAACAAATAATAAGGTAGAAAATATAACTACAAATTCTGTGACTGGTTCACAAAACTTTGTTTTTTTTTTAGCTGGACACTTATAGAAGGGATTTCTACTTCAATATCCAATATACAATGCTATGACTTAAGAAATAAATTACAATATGTCCTGAGGTAAAAATCCACGTGTTTATGGCCAATGACTCACAAATACTCAGAAATTGATTCATTATCAGCTCATTTCCATTTAGAGCTCTTCAAATGTTACATTCAAATGGAACCTTTCAAATTGAAGGTAAAACGACAATCTGATAAATTAGATCAGAAAAATTACAACTGAAACACACATTTTGTTTCTATTTACATACCAAGGCCTCCAGAACTGGTGTTTCGCTTCTTCTTAGGTTCTCCAGAGGCCATCATGGTGAGGTTTATAGAGCTGACCCTGGACAGATGAGGCATGGAGCTCACATTAGCCAGTCTGCGTTGCGAAGTCTCCTGCAGACAAGTAATAAGTAAAAGTAAATTTCTTAAAATAATATTTAAATTTTTTTTAATCACTTTAAAATAGGTAACATCCATTACCATACATTTTTTAAGTGTTTTTTTTTCACTAAGTTGTTACTCTTAAGGGTTGAAAAAGTGTAGTTACCGTACTGTAAATAATAGCTATGATTTTTTTTATAACGTTATACCTAGGTATTTTTAACCCAAAATGAGTAGACTTTGGCCCATAAAAGGAGAAAAGTGTAGAATTGAATGAGATAATCTGTGTAGCTTTGTTACTGACTAATACCAGCTGTTTCAATAGCCAGGCCAGGACCATTTATTAGTGTGCAGGAGTCAATAGTTTTGCATTGTTGTTGACCGTCAGATGCCAGGCTAAAACAAAAGTTGTCCTAGTGCCGATCAGCAAAATCATGCGTTCACGTTAGAGGTATATTAATCATGCACTTAAGCTTGATAACCGAGCACAAAATTGTATGTGATTCTTAAATATATTTTCCGTGTGAATTGCTTTTTAGATTTTTAAAACTTTTGTTTTAGAGGTTGAAAAAAATCAGTCTATACAGGGTCCCGTAAGTAAACAACCAAACTTCAGGAAATGGTTCTATGGGTCAAAATAAAGAGAAAATCAAGAATAACATTTTTCCCAACATCGCTTCGTTAACCAGATACTCGCCATTTTGTATTTTTTAAATAAACATTATTATTTCCAATTTTTTTCAACCGATCTTTATTGAACTTGGTATGTAGGTTAAAGTAGAAAAGAACAATGTTAGAAAAAAATTCATCTTGATTCAACTTAAAATTTCAAAATGGCAGCCATTTGAATTTTTTAAACTAAAATTACTCAAAAACGGCTCATTTTATGAAAAAATGTCAACAACATTTTTATTTAGTATTTTTAATACCCTATCAAACGATACAAAGTTCAAAAAGATTGAATAAGAAATAGCTGAAATATTACGATTTTTAGTTATAAAATGGGGTAGAATAAGGCAGAAACTAGTCAGGTTTGCCTCATTTTACGGTACCTAGCCCCAGTACTCGGTTTAGCTTTTAAAAATTAAACTTAGACTTCTTCGGATGTTATTTATTTTTACCTCTATAATTCAAACTCTCTACACCTCTACACTTAAAACTGAAACCTCTGTAATTTGAATTTTATCTATTCTGACCTCTATAATTCAAACTCTCTATATTTCAAACTTCCCATACTTCAAAATATATTGTCTTTCCACTGAAATTCAAATTAGTGAGGTTCTACTGTACATCTATTAGAGGTGTAAAGTTATTGTGGATAACCTACTGTGAATCAAAACTTTAAAAATCAAATACTACCGTACCTGGGCCAGATTTCTAAGGTCTTCATCTCTCAGATTCCTTGTGTCTTGCGCCTCCTCTGACTCTTGATGTGGCAACCTGGAGCCATAGAATCGTTTGGCACCAACTGTGGAACAAACCAAGGTAATCTCTGTACAATGTGTAATTGGAAAAGAGGTGACGCATCAATGATATTAACAAGCTTCTAAGAGGTGCTAGTGTAGGATTTTATTTTTTTAAATATTTGTTTTTAAAATATAAATTGCCATAGTGCAGTAAAACCTCTTTTGACCAAACCCTGTTAAACCATTACCAAGGCTAACCCAAACAATAATATAAGATTCAAATAAACTTGCAAATGAGCTAGGCTAGGAAATTGTCCGTTGTGGCAGAGGTAGTGGAAGCTGCTGTGAAGGTGAACTTCCGAACACAAATTTGTTAATTATTTTGAGAAATGGAGATTATGTGTATTTGTAGATAGTAGGCCTAGATTGATATTAATAAAATGACTATTGAAGATCTCTTTGAACCGAAATAGCTATTAACCCATTGACAACCACTTAGGTGTGTAGCCTTTTGTGTAGGCATTTTGCTGTGAGATAGCCGCACTGCTAACCCACTGGCTTTGAAGTGTAAAGTCGAATCTAACCTACGAGCACTAATGTCTTAATGTGCTTCAAAAATATCAAACAACTGTATCAGATTCCTAAATCGCATACTAGATCACGTAAGAATCATGCAGGATGATAGAGGTGAAATTGAAAGAATTGTTAATACAGAGGGAACTTTATTCATTTGACGACTATTTTTACTTGAAAACAAATAATAGATCTTCAAATTCAGAAAATAGCGTAACCTGAAGTGGTGTGAACAATAGTAGCCTACAAATCATGTTGATTGTAGCCTACTTAATGTGCTGCTGCACACTTGATATTATTGTTGTACATCTAGCATTTAACTTGTTTGGCACTATTCATGTAAATATGTATTACAGAATATGAATAGAGATCTTTTGATTTGATTTGATTCTTGTTTACTTCACTAACCTTGATTAGTAATCTAGTGCTTGTCAGATCCAACAATACTACTCTCAACTCACCGTTGTCAGGTTTCCACTGAGAATACACATGCATCTCACTGTCCATCCCCACCACTAGTATGCCATCTCGGACCCACGACAGCTGCATTGGCAGTGCTGGCAGTCCATCTGCTGTCGTCAGGTCTATCTTACGCAGCTTCATCCACCTGTGAGTTCAGTTACTATTTTAGCCAAATTACATAAGGATTAATTCATTTTCGTCTATAAACAAATTTTTAATTCATTTTTTATTTTCTTAAGAAAAGACAGAAATAGATATTTGGGAGGGGTGTAGGCACGCGTCAAGACTGAAATTCTCTTAATAGCAGTTGGTTGACCTGTCAGTTCTAGGTTGGCTCAAGGAGGGGTGCGAAAACGACGGTGATTGTTCGTAGTGTGGGAGGAGGTGAAAAGGTTGGGGATGGGTATAGAGATAGCTTGTCGAAGGGTGGAAGAAAGCATAAGAGAAGGCCTGGGGAGTCATACGACAGCCAAACTGTTCACTTATGGGTCACTTAAATAGACTTCCGTTTGAATAGCAAAGATTAATTGGTTTTTTTAATTAGTGATGGGCGGATCCAAGAAAATTTCGGTACCGGATCCGGATCTTGAAAAATTCGGATCCGGATCCAGATACACAATGTCATAAGGGCTTGAAAGAAGGTTGAAAAAACGTAATTAACAGAATGCCAATTTAAATCATACTGTTTAAAATTAATTTGGTAATGTTTAAAGGTTAATATATCTTATGTATAGAGTAATCTCCAATTGAGCCCATAATCCCTCATTTTTTGGGGACACTAAAACTTTTCCAAATCTTAAAATGAAACTATAAGTTTCATTTCATTTCATTTCATATAACTTTATTCATTTAAGTACATACACAAATATAGGAATGGCGTCAATAACCAGTAATAAATACAGTAATAGTTGATGATATTAGTTGGGCAATGTCACAGTACTGTATATTACGACGTCAAACACCTCTATGGTTAGGCAATGTCACAGTACTGTATATTAAGACGTCAATAACCTGTATGTATGGGCAATGTCACAGTACTGTATATTACGACGCTAATAACCTCTATGGTAGGGCAATGTCACAGTACTGTATATTACGACGTCAATAACCTGTATGGTTAGGCAATGTCACAGTTCTGTATATTACGACGTCAATAACTTCTATGGTTGGGCAATGTCACAGTACTGTATATTACGACGTCAATAACCTCTATGGTTAGTCAATGTTACAGTACATGCCTCATAATTCTATTTAAAAAAATATATATATTCTCGAATCCCAATCTTTTCTTAAGATTCGGTGGATAAGTCGTAATATACAGTACTGTGACATTGCCTAACCATACAGGTTATTGACGTCGTAATATACAGTGCTGTAACATTGACTAACCATACAGGTTATTGACGTCGTAATATACAGCACTGTGACATTGCCTAACCATACAGGTTATTGACGTCGTAATATACAGTGCTGTAACATTGACTAACCATACAGGTTATTGACGTCGTAATATACACTATACAGTACTGTGATATTGCCTAACCATACAGGTTATTGACGTCGTAATATACAGTACTGTGACATTGCCCAACCATAGAAGTTAATAACGTCGTAATATACAGTACTGTGACATTGCCCATCCATAGAAGTTATTAACGTCGTAATATACATTACTGTGACATTGCCCAACCATACAGGTTATTGACATCGTAATATAGAGTACTGTGACATTGCCTAACCATACAGGTTATTGTTATTTTATGAATTATATTATTTTTATGTTGGTGTTCTTAATAATTGACACTATTCATGTACATATTGTACATTATGAATAAAGGATGATTTTATTTGATTTGATTGACGTCGTAATATACAGTACTGTGAACTACTATATTATGGCCCAACTATATAGGTTATTGACGTCGTAATCTATATAAATAAAATTAGAGTTTTGTCTGTACATTGCTTAGAATCATGCAGTTTTTGGTTATTTTTACGTTTCATAGCCTATGAAAGCTGAAACGAGTCTTATCTCAATTTCTGTCTGTATGTCTGTTTGTCTGTTTGTCCATTCTGTGACTCCGTCTGTAACGCCAAAATGTCATTTTACGCGGCCTACTCCTAAAAAACTAGATTACCGATCAAGGTTCTAATCATTTTTTGTATTTACTGGATTGGTGAGAATGTGTTTGGCTATAAAAACATGGCTTCGCTTCTTTGAAAACAAAATTACGAACCATCAAAAACCCAATTTCGTTAGTTTTTTGTACAATTTTCTCCTAATGTTTACTATTACATTTTATTAAATAACGATCAGCTGTTTGGATTAGTTCTCACTTCTAGCTGTCACTGATATGTTTACATTAAAAGTTGTTTACAAATACCGCAACCATTTCCGATCAAGTTTTGTTAGCACATCCAAACCAAGTGAGATTAAAAACGTTGTGCCTTACTTAACCGGTTTAATTAATCGCAAGTCCAACGATTGTTCTTGAGCTTTCATAACCGGGGAAAATGCCGTGAATCAGTGTTGTATTAGTGCTGGGAAACTTACCTAATTTTTTTAATCATCGTCCCCAGGTTTTCACTTATTGACGGCGCTTCAAGGACAGTTGTGTAAAGTGCAAAGTAAAAAATCACAAATGCAGGGGTGATCGTGGATGTTACTGATATCTTGGAAGATCTATATGATTTCGCTGTGATCGTAACAGAAGTTTAACTTACAGATGTAGCTAAACTCACTTTTCCAATGTGTCACTTTTGGTTTCTACTTACATTTTGACAACAATATCGGTACTTTTTCTACCTAGGAAGTAAAACTAAAAGCGTCCAAAACCCCAGATTTGTGCGTTTTTCCCATTTCCTCCGAATGTTTGCTAGATATATGTACCGATTATCGTTTAGAGATTATGTAATCTTTTAAATAAGAAACCTTTGTTTGTATAAAGGTGGTTTCTTCAAACTGTCTTTATATGTTAACATTAAAAGTTGCTTACAAATAATGCTTTTAATGGGAAATAACTTTGATTTTTGAAAACTTAAAAAGAAAATTAAAACCAAGGGAGGTTAATAACTTCGGTACTGCATCACATCAAGTGGCAGTTTTTTGAGCAAACCATAGTGAGTTTTTAAAGCTTTACGTTGTTAACGTTACATGTTACATGTTTTGTGGCCTGTGTATTTATTTATTTATATATTTGCCAACGGATTAACACCTATAATACAGTTTGATTAGAAGGACGGTTTGAATTGGTCGTAAGTACTACAGTTATTTTCTTAAATGTAAACGTTGGTTTTTGGTACTGCTACTTTTCCCTAGAACCGGTGGTAGCAGTAAGAATAATTATTACGTACAAACACATCACTATTTACAACTAACCTATAGTTATCGTTAGTGCTGCACCTTATTTCTTATTAAATTTAATTGATGTCTTACTGTATAATTTTTGAGTTTTCTGTCTGGACTCCAAAATGTTAGTTTATGCTATGAAAATGATAAAACATTATTGAATGATTTTTTTTAGCAAACCATCATGAATTGTTAACGCTTGGTGTTGTTAACGTATAAATGTTTTGTGGACTGTGTATTTATTTTCTTATTTATATATTTGCCAACTGATTTACACAAATTTTTCAGTTTGATTAGGCCTAAAAACGATAATCATAAAATTTGATGACACTATAAAAACTTTCAAATAATTGTTTTGTTTAATGTTAAAGCGTAGGAGATCCCCTAATTCAATTCTGTATTTGTGTGTGTATGCTGTCTGTTGGTAACGTATTAATGTCCTTATTTCTCATTGTTTCGTGGAAAAGACAAGATGTTTTAAGCATTAAAATTAAGCACCTATGTTAATGAAAATTTCAACCCGAATAATGTGTGCAGTAGTGAGGTTGAGGTAGTATTTTAACCACTTTTAACCAGTGTGAAACGTAACTTTCAATTACAGACCTACCTTAGTTCTATGCCTCATAGATCTATAAAGCAATTCCTTTTATCATTAGATATAAAATATGGACTAACACGATCGGTATTCCTATACAGTAATAGTTTTTCCAGCATATCAGGAAATATTCATATGCAAACCAACTCCTGTTCTGAATATAAATTCAAATTCAAATTCAAATAATCTTTATTTGTAAGTAGCATATAACATACATAAATAGTGTCAAAATACAGGTATGAAAAAGGTATAAGGTATATATATAATCAAAGGTTTCTTAAAATTATCAATGCATAAATTAAATATTATTTCCTACAATTCATCTAAGGAAGCTTTGTTGATACATTCATATATAGTTTATTTATTTAAGAGGGAGGTTTAGAAATTCATCCAGCGAGTAAATTACCTCGTTAATTAAATAAGCTTTCAGTTGTCTTTTAAATTTAATTGAATTTTTTTCTTTATTAATATTTTCTGGGATTAATTTTAAAAACTGTTCACCAACATATGTTGGTTTTTTTTCATAGAGCTTCAGTCTGTGCTGATTTTGCCTTATAGAGTTACTTTTTCTTGTGTTATAATGATGTGTGGGTTCGTTAGGGACATCATTAGGAATTTTGTTCTTTGCACACAAAATGACCTCAAGAACATATTGGCCATAAACCGTCAGTATTTTTAACTGTTTAAAATAAACAGAAAGAAGGTATAAGAAGGTTTCAACTTACTACAAGATTCCCGTACGTAGAACGGGCAAACAGCTAGTATACAATACTGTGACATTGCCTAACCATACATGTTATTGACGTCGTAATATACAGTCCTGTGACATTGCCCAACCATACAGGTTATTGACGTCGTGACATTGCTCAGAGGTTATTGACGTCGTAATATACAGTACTGTAACATTGCACAACCATAGAGGTTCTTGGCATCGTAATATACAGTACTGCGAAATTGCCTAACCATAGAGGTTATTGACGTCGTAATATACAGTACTGTGACATTGCACAACCATCGAGGTTTTTGACGTCGTAATATACAGTACTGTGACATTGCCCAACCATAGAGGTTATTGACGTCGTAATATACAATACTGTGACATTGCCTAACCATACAGGTTATTGACGTCGTAATATACAGTACTGTGACATTGCCCAGCCATACAGGTTATTGATGTCGTAATATACAGTACTGTGACATTGCACAACCAAAGAGGTTATTGGCGTCGTAATATACAGAACTGTGACATTGCCTAACTATAGAGGTTATTGACGTCGTAATATACAGCACTGTGACATTGAGTAAAACATCGGGAAAAAATCTGTCTTTTTCATGGATACAGACAGCTTTATGTTAGTAAAAAAATCGGGGAAATTCGGAAAAAATCGGATCTATCAAAACCGGATCCAGCCCAAGATCCGGAATTTTTTTATCCAATCCGTTGCCGGTTCTAGCTTGGATCCGGCGGATCCGGTATTCCGATATCCGGATCCGACCATCACTAGTTTTAATTAATATATTTCCTGTTTTGTCGCTAATCTATTTACAATTATTTACAGTAATTTGTCATAAACCTTTGTAACTATAAAATACCCCCGCCGCAGCAAACCTGCAGACTAAGCGAATTTCCATTTGACTGATTGGATTTACACTGAAATGTCTACTTAAAAATATAACATTTATTCCCGATTTAAATAGAATTAGTTTAACAAGTACTTAGGTTTGCTGCATCAGGGAGGGTAAAACTGTTTTTTTTTTTTTGTAAAATGTTAATAGTTAGTAAGAAATAAAAACATTTTCCAAATTTGATCAAAATATGTTCATAAACAAGCAAACTACAACAGTTTACTCATTCTCCATAAGAATAACATGGGAATTTTAAATTTACAATTTTTTGGAATTTTCTCCGTAACCATTAGGCGCATAATAACGCTTCAATATACTAAATTATTTGTTTTTTGAAGCTCTACAAAATGGTTGGGAAATAAATTGCTAAATTTTATGTTTTTTGGGTCAAAAATGGGAAAAACCTATTTTTACCCCATAACACCCCCGTAAACACCCGTTCCCATGGTCCGATCATGCTGGATCGCAAACTCGTTCGAATAAACGTAGGTTTACACGTTTGTACCAAATTTCATCGAAATCGGATCATTTTTGGTCGAGTTATCGTGCTGACGGACATATATATATCTAATATATAAAATTCTCGTGTCACAGTGTTTGTCTGCAAACTCCTCCGGAACGACTTCACCGATCGTTATGAAATTTGGTGTGTAAATTCTGTAGGTATGCGAATCGGACGTAAACTATTTCCCGTTTCGAAATTCTTAAAAGGGCTCCGCCCCAGTGGCTCTGGAGTTTCCCATGTTAACCTTATGAGAAATGGAATTAATGAATCTTAACAGCTGTTTCAATTAAACAAGTTGGTTCTGCTCTATGATGTTCAATAGCATTAAAGTTACAAGGATTACCAACAGGGTGCAGCACTATTATTTCTTTTACATTTATAACAACAGCTAATTTGCAACCAAAAGGTGAGTGAGCGTAGCGAACGAACTTCAACCTGGAGGCGAGTTAGCGTAGCGAACGAGCTAACCTGAAGGCAAGTGAGCGCAGCGAACGAGCTCCAACCTAAAGGTGAGTGAGCGTAGCGAACGAGCTCCAACCCAAAGGTGAGTGAGCGTAGCGAACGAACTTCAACCTGGAGGCGAGTTAGCGTAGCGAACGAGCTAACCTGAAGGCAAGTGAGCGCAGCGAACGAGCTCCAACCTAAAGGTGAGTGAGCGTAGCGAACGAGCTCCAACCCAAAGGTGAGTGAGCGTAGCGAACGAACTTCAACCAGGACGTGATTGAGCGATGCAAATGAGATCATCTTGAAAATTAAACGTAACGGTACTTTCTTTCCATCGGTCTGTCTTAGGGGAAACCTACAACTTAGGCGATACGAAGTTCGCCGGGTCAGCTAGTATATATATATAAATATATATATATATATGAATTTGAACGGATGGTGTTTTTGGCCTCTAGGGACCTCAAAACGAAAAAAAAATCGGTCCCGCGTCCAGGTCTTACCATGAGTACTACGGTAATAGCTTATTCCCTATATGGGAAATTCGCTAATAAAATATTTCGTCCGCTCTTGAAGGTTAACACTTTATTTCTTTTTGCCAATCGATAAAGTATAATTGCCTTTGATGTTAGGCCTTATATATTGGTTAGTTTTTGTAATTTAAATTGTCTTTATACCACAAGACATATGGGAAATCTAAGACTTCCAACTAACCGTATGAGGCCTATAATTATGAATTGATGAAAAGATCAAGATTGTATCTAGAAACTAGAAAAAGAAGGTTTTACCTAATAACAACGAATGCTGATGACACTTCAAGTATTCAAATAATTGTAAATAGGTTAGCGAGAAAACAGGAAATATATTAGAACAATTAGTTTCCGTTGCTAGCTACTATTTCTGTATATAATCTTTGTAATTCATATGGAAGTCAATTTAAGTGACCTATAGATTAACTGTTTGCTTGTGGTATGACACCCCAGCTATCACTCTCGCTTTCTCACCCCTCCTCCATCGATCACTATCCTTAGGCCATAAATCAGGGGATTACCCCAAACAAAGATCAAGAACGCTGTCCGTCTCCCTTTAAAATCATTAATCCAATTCCATTACATTTGCTTGCAACTTAATATTAGATTCCTGATTCAACTTGTGAAACAGTCGATGGATCTAGATATTGATTCTTTTCTTGAGATTTGTTAAACACCTTGATTTGAGATTAGGATTCTTGTAAAATTACTAGAGATAAAGAATAAGCACATAGAACTACAGTTGTCGAAGCTAGTCTGGGCGCGCGGACCCTTGTGTACTAACCGTCCCCCACGCCAAAGCCATGAAGACAGCAGTGAGGCGCTGAACAACCCCAGAGAGCCGTGTGGGCCAGATGTTTTTGGAAATGAGCAATAAACACTCCCCTCTACACCTCGCACCCTAGCGCGGCCGCACACCCAGACTAGCTGCGACTACTGTACTGTAGAGCCTGCCATATGTTTATTATGAGTTACAATAATCTAACAATTGAATTATGAAATAAATAACACTACCAAGAGCTGTGTCGCAAATGCTAAACCAGGCAAAATCATGGGTACATGGGTTAAATTGGACCTGAAGCAAAAAAATATTAATTCGGGCCTAGATAAAACCGAGAGAGGAGTATGAATCTATGTTAGGTCAGGCTCTTCAGCTTGGTAGTCTACATTTAGATTTTTTTTTACTCACCTAATCTCATCAACAAAGTTGGGAGCAGCAAGGGACGAGGCCTTCCTGAGAATGGGACGGTTTGTGGACTGAGACTCCTTCATGGCCTTCATGTTGGCTTGGGCTAAATCACTGGACACTGGGGTGAACAGCATCACCTGTGACCAAACACTCTCAAATAACATCAAAATAGCTCTTTGTATGACTTAAACATTTATAAAGAAGGGTGTAACATAGAGCACAAGAGCCTACGTGTTTAGGGTTTTTTTTTTGGGGGGGGGGAGAGGGATATCGGGTTTACTTGAATGGGAAGAAGTTAAATCTGGTTTGAATCGAAGAGAGAGATGAACTGTTCCAGGAGTTAAATTCTCTCTCCAACTCAAACCTTCCTTAGCAAAAAACTCTATCAGTGATTGTAAAATAGACTAGTTTATTGTGTACCTAAATTGTAACGTTTTATGTTTATTGTGCCAGATTGGACTCCCTGCTATCCTCGCAAAAAATACTTCAGGCTTGATATTTAGAAAATTCCGTAGAATTTGGATGGTTTTAAACTTGACCCAAAGTTATAAATTTTATCTGCCATTCATCTACGGGTAAAATGCACCTTAGCTGCATCCCCATCTCAAAACAGTGGTTGTGTGTGATATACTGAAGCTCTCACCTTGCTTCCTACAGCCACTGTGAGAATGTGTGAGCCGTCCTCTTTAGACACCCAGTCCAGCTGTACCAGGTGTTTCTGTGTCAGTGGACAGTTGTTGCCATTCTCTATGATGCTCTTGCGCAGTGACTGCAGCGTGCTGAAGCTAGGGACAGCTAGCAGACCTGCGTAAAAATAACAACTGGTGTTATTGTCTTTTTAAGTGAATTGTTTGTCACTAATATTTTACTAATATGTAAAATTAAGTTAAAAAGAAGTTACACTGAGGAAGTGGACCTAAAAATTAGCCCTTGAAATGAATTGCAAACATGGTAATACTTATTCTATGTATTCAGAAGTCACTGATATTCAACGTCTCTGTGAAAACAACGCATGGTTAAGTTAAATAGTAATTTGAAAGCATGAAAGTCGCTCAAGTTCTTTAATTTTGGAAAAATTAACCTCAAAATGACAGTCCGGAGTTATAGAGAATAAGGGGGAAAAAGCCTTTTTAACAAACAAAAGGTCGTTGAAAACAGATGCACAATTAATTCATTTGTCTTCCTTAAATTTAAATGTACCAAACAAAATTGCATGATTTTAATTTTAAGAAAACAATTACAATTGCATTGAAATGTTATCTGATTCATGTAAAAGGCATTGTACAGTACAGAATGCTAAGAGAAGATGGAATAGTATGAAAATTATTTTTTTATTAGAAAGTATTTCTTAGGCTTATAATAAACTTCCTAAAGAAATCAAATTAGAAACTTCCAAAAATAAATTTAAATCAAAATTGAAAAAGTTTCTTATCAACAAGGCTATGTACTCCTTTGAAGAGTTTTAGTTCTTTAAGTTATTAATTGCTCCGTTTCATATCAATTGAAACTTTTGGTTTTAAAATAATTTTATCTATATTTTTAATTTTGATATTTTCATGTAGGCCTATAAACTTTCATATTGCACTGCTTGTTTTAATTTATTTGATCTGAAAAGCTATTAATATTGATGGTATGTTATTATGCCATGCATGATAATGATTAGTATTTTAGTTAGTTATAGTTTTATTAAATTACTCTTGACGCCATTCCTGTATCTATGTATTGTACTTTAATGAATAAAGTTATATGAAATGAAATGAAAGGCCTAACTGAATTATATTTCAGGATCCACAAACACTTTTCAAGCAATATTGGATAAGCGAAAATCCATAGTAGGAAAACAAAATGCATAGCCTTTTTCCTTCCTTAATAACATCATTGTGCCAAAAGAAAATTTTTCCTCTCGGCAGTCTTCTGTGAGCAACATATACTCGAGAAGTAAAAACTCATTGAATAATACTAAATATACTAAAACATTTTTAAACTCATTTGTTTCTTTTTCATGAAAAAACCTAACACCCACCCGCACCAGTTTTAACCAAGCTAGCAGGTTCTCCGAGACCGTTCATATCTCCATTCCTGCGAGGGTCAAGTTCCTCGTTGCTCATGGCCTTTATGAAGTTGTTCTGCAGCCGCTGTTTCTTGGACAGCAGAGTGTGGTCGTAGATGTAGCTGAGGTCCACACTGGGGTCTACCTGGATACGAGGCAGGTGGATGTTCTTGAGATGTAGAGTGTCCTCTAGGACCCATTCTGACCCTACAACAGAACCGACATTATCTAGGATTCCTACAATGACGCAAACTATCAACTCTTGGATAAACCATGAAAACAAGGCTTGCTCAAGTCTTAAGATGAGTAAACTCACACTTGAGTCACCCTTGGGCATAAACCAAAACTGCAGAACCTGTTTTCTTGGACTAGGACGGTTTATCACAGTAAATTGCCTTTAAGGATATTAATGAGTTGAAGCTGACACACATCAGACTTGTAAGGTCAGTCAAAATAGTAATGATGATGACGTAGGACTTCTTTACAGTTAACACAGTAATATTTTCAGTGCAATAACAAAGTTTGGGTTAAAGAAAGAGACAGAGTTAAGTTTATTGAAAAGAAATAGTACTTAGACCTTGGAACACATATCTTTGAATATTCCATCAAGCATGTACTGCTCCAAGACCCAATACAAAATGATATTTTACTGTGCCATTCTCTCATCCAGTGATAACCACAAAGATCATCTTGACCCTGAGCCTGCATTTCCTGGTGAACATTGGACCTGAGGAAATCTTTAGTGTGGATCTTGTGCCGGAGTGAACTCTTTTCCATTCAGGTAAGCCAATATTTGCAGAAACATTAGTTCTGTGTTTATAAACCAAAATCTAGTAATCTAATTGGAGTAAGCACTGCTTCATCTAGTGGTGGAATCAAGCTAACACTCCTCGTGACACAGGTAAAGGTCGATGGTTTCCAGCCACAGAGTAACATGTCCTTCCCGAGACCTGTCTCCACTTGAATTTCCAGTAGTAGAACCTACCCACATGAACAGTATTGTATTACATATAAGGATATAAAATAACTTACCACCGGTGCTTTCACATTCGTAGATGGCTACACAGAGGTTGACATATCGAGAGTCAGGGTCCTTGCGAGACGGTCGAGTGAAGGATTTGCCATACTTGTAGGCACACGCGATCCTCCCACTGTAGGCGGCATTAATGTTTAGTGGCTGACCTACAAAGCAATAACAAACATAATTGGTCATTTTATTTGTAAAATTACATAAAGTAGGGGTTAAAATATATTAAAAAGGAAACTATAAGTAAAAAATATGTGCAATGCATTTACTGCCACTTGTACAATCTATTTGTTTTCATTAACTAGATTAAATGTTGGTCAAAAACGTTTGAGTTTGAAAATTTAGTCTAGCATATTTAAGAGTCTAGCATACTATGAGAAGACAGCAAAATTCAGCAGCAAGGAACATACTTGATAGAAACCCCGAAGAAAGAAGGCAACCAGGACAGCCTAGGCTAAGATGGAGGGATCAAATTCAAAAAGATATAGGGAAGAAATGAAAATGAAGCTCAAGAAAGAGACAGCTGGAGGCAGTGAAGCTTAGGGGAGTATTTCACAAGATCCAAAATCGGAAGATCCAACGTTTATATTGCAGATCAGAAGATCCAAAGATTGGTAGATCCAAAAGTACAGTCATAACCAGAAGTACAATTTTACATTGTGAAGAAAAACTTATGAAATAGACTTTACATTTCACTTAGGATCTTCCTATCGTACAGGTTCGGAAGCAGTGTTTCCACAAGACCAAAACATTAATCCCGCTTAATGGGTCGAGAAATCATGTTTAATCCCACTTTTGAATTAAGAAAAATCCCCTTTAATCCCACATATTTTTTTGTTTACAGTAATCCTAAATGTTATATTTGAGGTATCATGTTAAAATAGTTGTTTAAACATTGCTTTAATATTTTACTATAGTAGTTTAATCAATTTGAGTTTTCCTCTAAAATTAAATAGAAAAAATTTAAAAAGTTGTTATAGCTGAAAATCCCGTTTTATCCCGCATCCCGTTTTAATCCCGCTCATGGTCTAAATTTCCAGTTTTTGGGATAATAATGCCACGTTTGGAAACACTGGTCGGAAGAACCAAAATGCATGTGTCAGATCGGAAGATCCAAAAGATGAGTAAGATGAGTCTTGAGATATTGCATCTCTCATATTGAGGGCATTTAAATACACGCCGTCATCCTATTGCCTTGTGCCTTCTTATTTGTTTTCTTATGTGATGTTTTTAATTAATTATTACTTTCTATTTGAGTTTGGGAGTAGTTGGGGGTATTTGAACGCCTTCAATCTGAGGGACGCAATAGTTCATACTTTTGGATCTTCGGTTCTAACATATTGCTTTTTGGATCTTCTGACCCAACTACAATCGTAAGATCCAAAGTGAAATGTACAGCCTATTTCATAAGTTTACTTCACAATGTAAAAATGTATTTCTCGTTATGACTTTACTTTTGGATCTACCGATCTTTGGATCTTCCGATCTGCAATATGAATGTTGGATTTTCCGATTTTGGATCTTGTGAAGATGATCCAGGCCAAGTACTTCTTAAGGTACCAGTGGCCACTCCAATAAGTAAATGATATTTAACAGTAGGTGTTAAAATGTTCAAATAATAATACTAATTCACTACTTAAAATAACATGTATCCAAAGACTTTAGCCATGTTTCGAACAGATTCCTTAAAGTATGTAATTCAAAAACCCAAATACAAGAACAAAATAGGGATGTGTCGTATCCGAATCTTGAAACCACCGAATCCTAAGAAAAGATTCGGATTCGAGATTCGAATCTCGGGTCCACTGACTCACCGCCAGCTCTATGATAACGTGTAGCAGCAGTTTCCATCCACACATGGCTGGAACAAGGCCAAACTCAGGTCTCAAAATTTAAGGCCATGGCTTGAATTACGTCCTAGTCGAATATTAATTGTATTTTAAATAGGGATAGGCCGAGGTCAATAACAGAATTTCTTGATTCGATACCAGTTCTGAAATATTACTTACGATTGTCGATACCACTGATTCCATATAAAAACTCATTTTAAGGAAGTTGAAATGGTCAATGTTTTGTTGTTCATTTAAATTCTGAATCAGGTAACCGGGTAGTTCATGCCGGCCCAAAATTATCGTGCGCTCTCAGTTATTTATCGTATCTAAGTCTGATGAGTAAACAGAATCAAGGAACCGCTCTTGCTTTTTACAAAACGAATCAGTCATAGACTGAAAACATCCAAATGGAGGTAGCACTGGCACGGCAAAACTACTAATAAAATCGAGATGCTGTAAAATGTTGTTATGTTGGTACCACTAGAATAATCAACCAACTCATTGGCTTAATTGCTATCCCACAATCCCCTAGTTCCAAAGTACTATTCCCCTTGTACATATGGCGACCAACGTCTCTCAATTCTCGCATTCAGTGCTACCATGGGTTGTAGCTCTAGTTCAGTGCAATCAACTATTGCTGCTATTGCTATCGACTTAACCTTGACTGCAATAGTATTGTCTGCGTTCGTGTAGCAAGCAATTGCGGAACTGTACTGTAGACAATAGACAGATGACACGACGATTTATACAATACGATCCCCAATCGAAGCTCAACTGTGGATTGAATTGATGTTTAGTATTTAATAAGTTATTTAAAATTTTAATAACAAAGTACACTATCGTTCAACAAATTTAAAATCAACAAGTGTAGGGGCCTACCTACAACAACCATAAATAACCAATAATGAATATTTAGTATTTGCCGTCCAAATAAAGGATACCGACCGTTCGATTTAGGCTAAAATAATAGGTTTTGAAGATGTTATCAATTAGTGGTCTGTTATTTATGCCGTGTGTAAAAAGTAACTTAATTATGTAACTTAACTTTTCATTGCAAATAAAAAGTAATTCATGGTTAGTGTAATATTTATTTTTAAATGCTCCCTATTCCATTCTTGCTTTTTAATCACCGTATAAAAATGACCGTTCGTAATTATTTTTGGGACTCAAGATTCAAAGATACAAGATTAGAGATTTGATTTTTTTAAGATTCATATTCGAGATTCAAAATTCCTGGATTTGACCATCCCTAGAACAAACACTACTGGTCAAAACTCATGTCTTACCTGATATTTCAATCATTGATTCCTTGTCTTTCCGCAACATTTCCCATTCTTGCCACTCGTATGTGTGCTCTACTTTCCCATTTTGCTTTTTGCTGACTTTGCATTTCCAAAATCTGTAACAACAAAGATAAAAATAGCAATAAATTTAATGTTATAGGTTTATCGCAGTGATGAAATTTATCTATTCAAACGTACCTGGAACTGCCTGGTGTACATGCTATGCAACAAAAATATGCAAGTGGTACTTTTTGTGTTAAAAAGCACTATAAACTTAATATAGTCACAAACCTATAAATATTTAAGTCTTTTCAGAGGGATCTTATTTAACACTAAATAAGCACATCTGTAGAAGTAGAGCTAAGTATTTCTTAGTTAATTTATAAATAAGGAGAGGAAGGATGAGCAGGCTGACCTCACAAATTGTAGGCATCCCACTCAGGCAATAAGCCCTTTTCAATCAAAGGTTAATTTATAAACTATAAGCAATGCTTGATTGAATAGATTCTTAAAAATTATAATGTTTCTCTTGTGCTTACAAGTTACTTCAAATTGTTCCTGGACACCTTTTTACTGTTCCGACGACATGTCCTACAGTTCTACACTATTTTACACAGTTACTAAAACATCATTCCTAGAGTTCCAACAATATTACCAACCCTTTCAACTACATCTCTACAGTTGCTATCACATACCTGATGGTGCTGTCGGAGCAGGCTGTCACTATGATGTAGGGAGCAAAGCATGCTGGATAGATGGAGGCAGAGCTGAGATGTCCTCCAGCAGGTGCCGCATGTATCACGTCAACCCCGTCTGGTAGAGGTAGCTCTTGTGTACATACCTACAACACATTACCAACCCATATATCCTGACATTTCCTCCTCAATTCCAGTGCAATGGTACGTGATGAATTTTTAAGTAGGATATCATAATCAGACACATTGTATACTATACGATAAATATTTTTACTACAAACCATAAACATCCCACTAGTATTATAGTTTGTTCACAATATTTAGGCGGTTTTAGGGGAAGAAATCTATCGCCTACACTTGACTCTTTACCTTTAAAATAATAGCTCAACAGCTGATTAAGCAATATACATTAAATACCAAAAAAGTGGTGGGGGAACTTCCCCTTAAACCGCCTAAATATTGTGAACAAATATAATGCAAAAATGTTTGGATGAGTGATAGCATTACCATTTTCACCCTACAGGTAAAAGTGTTGTATTATCATGAACACAGTTGTCAAATTAAAAATTTTCATAAGAGTGTCACTACAGAATGCAAAAAAAAAAAAAAATTAAAACTCTTCCTGATTTTGTTATGTGTAGTGCTCTACTACCTCATGAGCTATGTTTTGTTTTTATCAAGTCTAGAAGCAGTGCTGTAGCCTGTAACATGCTGTAACTATAATGTCATTAATCATTATATATCTGTAAAACAGTTAATTTTTCTTTCTGATCATTAGTATTTAGAATTATACCTTTAGTAATCCAAAAATCCTTATTAATCCAACAAACTGTAGGTCCCATATCTGTTGGATTATCAAGATTGACCTATAATGGTTATCAGTAAGTCACAAACCTTGGTAGTATTTATCTGCACATGTCCAGTATGGACCTGGCCGTGACATGACTCGTCCAGCCTAGAGGATGAGTCTACATCCTCCAATGTGTCGTCCTGCACCAGTCTACTGTCTGGCACGTACATCAGGTCTCCATTTTCATCTATAACACCATCAGAGCTCATCAGGTAATGTGCCGTAATCAAACAGAGTTTATCGAAGAACAATAAATAAGGGTAAATTGAATTAAAACTAAAAGAAAAGGATGTCCAATTCCCTAAGTGATATAAGTCAATGGAAAACTGAATACAATTAAACCTTTAAATGCTAATTTCAGTATCTTTAACCCAGTATGATCTAAATGTTTTATAATTTTGTTAAACTCAACACACTGTGCAAAACAATTTACAACTCTTTAAAACAAATTGGCTAGGTTTGTAACTTCATATAATTTTTTTTTCAAACTAAAAAAATAAATCCCTGTTTTACTACTTGGATTTTCTCTGAGTTTTTTCATGGGGCATTGGGTTTTCTCTGAGTCAAAAAATAGGAAGCGCAAAAAGCTTTCATGCGGCTGGTGCGCCAACAGACAAGGTCCACCTTGACTCAATAAAAAAAAATCAATTTAATTAAATACAATTTTTGTACAAATAAAAATCAAAGACAGAACAGTAACAAGAGCGTAAACTCACCGCTGTTGTCAGTCTGAGAGGAGATGACTATTCGCCAGGTGTGTACTGTAGTGCCTTGTGTCGTCCGTTCCAGTACAACCAGGTAGAACGGCTCCTCAAACTCCTTCGTCTGTTGCAGGTCCACGATGGCCCCGTGGCTGCCCTCTGTCAGTGAGATGCCCCCTGGCGTCCCCGCCAGTCCCATACTCTCTCCAGTGATCAGCTGTTCTTGGAACACGTGTAGGAACTGTGTGTTCTGCCAGTCCTGCAACACCACCGACAACTCCACAAAGAATACAAGTATTTTGACACTACACTTTCTCTTAGCTCATTGCACTCTCTCTACTGCTTGCTAATCTGGCACATGCAGAATTTTGGCAGGACCGGTTTTTGAAATATTGATTTACGGAGTGTCTTAAAAATAAACAGCCTTTATTGTGATACTAACGAGGGAAATCCCACTATTTTTGAGCATCAAAAATACACATCTGCACATGTGGTTTGATAATAAGTTGTCTCATCAGTTTGACTAATTGGTTGAACATGTTTGTGTATTCAAAATTAATTGGTAATTCACATAAGCACACTCTGCCAAAATTTGCCCAAATCAAATACATCCATTTTGATTTTAAAACTGGCGCCAACGTTAAAATGATGATAGAACCAACAGTCGAAAGTGATAGTTTGTATGAGTCGAAAGTGATAGTTTGTATGAGTCGAAGCTGAATAGTAACAAATCTACTGAATCTCAAGAAAAAATTCTAATTCTAAACGCAAGAATCAATTTTTGAATCTCATAATTAGAAATTTGAAATGATAAGAGTTCAGCTAGCTTACCTGAAGAAGAACAAAAAAGTATGGGGACAGGTATATATGCAAATAAAAGTTTTCAAAACATTACACTGTTATTTCATCCTAATATAGAACTTCCAGAGAGTAGACTGAAGAAATTTTATCATATTGTAATTTTTTTTATGAAAATTGGTTATTTGAATGTTTTGTGGTTTTTAATTGAATACAGTTAATACACCCTAAATCATGAGACAGTTTTGTTTAAGTGAGATAATAATAAAAAACATGAACTCACATGAGTAGCGTCTGCGATGGCGTCGAGCTGTATGACGCAGCCAGGTCTAGCTGTGGACTGTTGAGAGACAATCTTGATGCGGTCGTGCAGTGAGATATGTTTGGCTCCGTCTTCCGACGATAAATCAGTAGACAAACTCATCGTGGAACCCTGAAAAACACAGTATCATATCACAACTTATCTGAATCACCAACAGAGAAGAAGAGTTTAAAGCAGCAGATAAAGCCGTTCAGTAATTAGATAACTCCCATCTGATGACAATAACAGTGAAATTAAAAAAGTATGTTTGCTAAATAAATTATCAAAGTCCATTACAGTTGAATTATAGTCCGTTCACAAAATTTATGCAGTATGAGAGGAAGTTCCCCACTATCTTTTTTTGGTTAATGTATAGTTGCAGCTGCTTGACATTATAGCAAACCTCATCTGATGAGCTGTTGTTTTAAAGGTAGAAATAAGTGAAGAGAATAGATTTTTTCCTCCTAAAAGTGCCTAAATTTTGTGAACGGAGTATATAGATATATATTTGCAAATACCATCATTCGACTTCTTCGTTCTGAAGTAGATACTTCCGCCAGCAATGTCCGAGCGTCTATTACAGCTTGGTAAACTCGTAAACTCTCTCCGTCAGAAGCCACAAAGCAGGCACTCGGTGAATTGGACAGGTTCCCTAACGTGGTACTGCGGACAAAACGAGTAAACAAGTCAAACTTTGAGAGCAAAGAGGTTTTGTAAATTACCAAACTTGAATATGTAGCATACAAGAAAATAAGATGGTACTTTGAAAGAATTTTTAGTTTTGAAGTTTCTAATGATGCAGGTCAGTAGTGCAGCATACAAGTTTCCTTTGACTACCTTAGCATCCAATGGTATTGATTTTAAAATAAAATATTGCTTGAACTAAACTAAATATAGAAAACATCTAAATGAACTAAACGGACTAAATACATCTTGCATACGAATCTTCCACTTTTACACTGAAAGCTCTCAAAGTTGGCTATGTAACATGATCACGTGTTTAACCTTTGTAACAGTAAAGTTGGCAACCTTATGTTAGCCAACCTGCACAGTTAAACATACCTCTTCTATTAATAAATTTTAAGCAATAAAATAAAGAGAGGCCCAACACAGCAACCATCTTTAAAAATTAAAAATGTTATTCTGTTTGGGCCAATTTGCACTATTTTAAGCATTTCTTTTAATTATAAATAATTAGAGAAAACTTCTTTTAGTGAGGAACAAATTATTTCAAGGAATGAATTAGGCTTGTATGTAAACAAATGATGGACTCAAAGGACTAAATTACATTGACTATATGAGGATGTGCCTTAATTACATATTTTTAGCAACTATACATCTTCAATATAAGATTGCAACTGAATCTGATATTCAGATTGATGATAAACATTAACATGGCAAAACGGTTTCCTTTATCAGTGAAGGACTTCCAGAATCTAGTGACTCTCAATATTGAGAAAGGGACAAGAGGCCTCAAAATATTCAGTATTTCCTTTGTGTTTTCTTTTGTTTACTTAAGAGGCGGTCGGATAGAGCCCCGTATCCTATATTCTGCAGGCGTCACGAGCAACAACACAGTCCTCCCAAAACAGACTTTTGTAATAGTACCACCCTTGGCCACCAGTTTCGTGGCTGTCGCATAACGGGATCATCTGAGATTGTTGACAACCCTGTGTTACCTAGAAACTTGAAAGCATCAACTCGACTACCCTCAGCCTGTGTCCTTGCCCTTGTCTATTGTCCCACCGCATGTTTCACTCAGGGCTAGAGATGTTTCACTTTCACTGGTTTGCTACCTTCACTCACCCACCCTTTGCGTCTCAGCAGGTCTCAGATCGTCACCGCACAATATGCTAATTTTCCACACAAAAAAGTGTTGGACATACAAATAACACTTTCAGTAAGACATTTTGATTTATACACTTAATTTAAATATAAAAATACATGATAATGTATATTCAATTATAAATGATATACTAGTGCTACTGGGCTCAATAATGTAACTACTTGGCCTATCCCATACATTTTAGCGAATTTCCCTATAATGAGGTAGCTATTACCGTAAGTGGCATGGTAAGACCTACGCCCGGGACCGATTTACTTTTTCATTTTGATGTCCCCAGAGGCCAAAAACACCATTCGTTCAAATTTGTATATATATGTGTGTCCGTGAACACGATAACTTAAGTAATTTTTGTCCGATTTTGAAGAAATTTGGTTTGAAAGTGTAAGGCGGGAGGCGGTATAAACTTAAATGAGTTCGCAAACCAGCATGATCGGACCATGGGAACGGGGTTTTATGGGGTAAAAATTGGTTTTTCTAATTTTTGACCCTCTAAACAGAAAATTTCCCAATTTCTCTCCAGGCCTTTTTAAAGAGCTTAAAAAACAAATAATTCAGTATATCAACGTTTTTTTGTACAATTATTGGTTACGGAGAAAATTCACAGTTTAGTAGACCGTAAAAAATAAAATGGTATATGTACACAAACAACAAACATTAAATCACGTAAAATAAATGTTAAACGTTAAAAAAAAATATAATACATTAAGATAGCATAAATAAAACCTTTAAAGTATATGCTCAAACCTATATAAAAAAAACTACAAATATTGTCCCTAATTAAACTACAATAAAATACCTATGAAAAATACTGAACATGTTTACAAAAGACTGAATATACGAATGCTTCGCAATATAATGTCACCCGATCGTCTTAGTCCATATTTTATATCTATTGATAGAAGGAATTTCTTTTAGATCTATGAGGCATAGCCCTAACGTAGGCCTTTAATTGAAATTTACCTTTCACACTGGTTTAAAATAGTTAAAATACTACATCAATGTCACTTCTGCACACTTTATTCAGGTTGAAATTTTCATTAACAAAGGTGCTCTTGTCTTTTCCACGAAACACTGAGAATTAAGGACATTAATACAAAACTGTATTTTATTTATATATATATAGATGGAACGATTTAAATATATAAAATATAAAAAATAAAAACAGTAGGTCCTATGTGTCGTATTTTTACGTTTCAAAGCCATTTGAAGTTGCAATCTGGCTCTGGCTGGTTTTTCTAGATTTTGCCTTATCCTGTGCCTCTAATATATAAAAAGGATTTCGGATGGGCACTTGGGGTTTTATCTTAGCTCGAATATTATATACCTAAAACGGGACATCGCAATTCCAAGATAATCCATGAGTCAGAAGCCGGCTTGGCTACGACGCAGTGCTGGTCCGGAGGGTGGATTTGGTTCCTGGAAGACCTTAATCGTATATACCACGTATGTCAGAAAATGCTTTTGTTCCACTGGACCTTGTTTTCTTGCTGACAAATAGTTTGTATCAAATCGTGTAAATTGCAGCAGCTATCTTTATACAGCTAAGTCCTTAATCAACGTACTAAGTATGACCAAAAGAGACGTTTATTCTAACGGAACTTGTTTTATATTGATGAACAGTTTGTATCAAACCGGGTGTTGTAGAACTACTTTTATCTCTGATGACAGTAATATTTTAATACATACAGTAAATACACAGTCCGACAATATTAGATTCTTAGATTCATGTGAATTAAATATTATCATTTCCTTGGCATTATAATACATCAGGGATGTAACGACATAATGTTATTTATTTATTTAAACAGATCTGTGGCCAGTTTAAATGAATTTTATTTGGCACGGTTTGAAAACGTGCTCTGCAGTCCACAATCGACTGTGCTGCCATCGGCCGGGACATCGTCGAACTAGTACTCAGTCGGCAAGCAAGGATTTTTTGCAAGCTTTTACAAAAAAATACAAAACTTAATGTTAACCATCGAAAAATAAATATCTGTCACACTCAATACACTAATGAATATATGCTCTTCAATATGGCGTTTGAACCAGAATTGTTTATAGTGCCAGTCATTTTATATTTTAGCCGAAAGTATTGCAATTCCTTATGGGAAATGTAAGAAATGATTTATTTTTTATCCGGCTTATAAGTAAACATTATGATTTTTATATTGTACAGTCTTAATCCTACATACATTTACAATGTTTTGAGTGTGGGAAATAATTTTTGGAACACGGATAGACCAGAAAACGAGGAATTATTAAATGCGCTCCATGTTAAAGTGACGGCCAGTGTCGGCAGCCGAGAATCTCTGTCCGACCGCCTCTTAAGTAAAATGGGTTGCCTACAATTTTGAGGTAAGCCTGCTCATCCTGTCCTTTGTATCCTTAAGCCTACCATTCGTGGATGGCATTGAAAATTAATAACATGTATTGTACCTCTAATAACCAATCAATAACAGTACAACTAACACAATACAAACCTTGGAAGCAAGGTAGGTATCCAGGCAACATTGGAAAAGGCGGACATTTCAGGAGAATTGATACGAGCCAGCTCAGAGACTCCTCCAGACTTTGAGAGAGGTCCAACAGCGTCAACCCGCCACAGGATCAACTCACTACAGAAACCCTGTAAACATACAACATATTTAACACTGTTATTATGTTAAAATAATGTTAACTAGCATATGTATTACATGTGATTTTTTTTTATTCATCCCTGTTATCAATAATGATATAAACTATGGCTACAGAGTACAAATTCACTACCTACTGTGAAGTAGGCATTACATTCATAATTTTAAGTGGGTTTGATCAAATTGTTAACTGTTAAATTTTTAAGTTAACAAACTGTCCACTTAAATTTTGTAACAATCAAATAAAGGTTTACCATATGTTTTCCAGAAGTCCTCATTCATAACCTTTAAGTAGATTTGTGACAAAGATAGGTAACCACCAACTTTAAGTCTACGGAAACTCAATACTTGAACCACTTGCTGGGGTGCGGAAAAAAATACAGAATTTGGCTATGCGCCCAGAGATAGGTTTGTCCTAGCACAATCAACTGACACAATACCGAGTACTGTTAATAGGAACAAATTACTTTTTGACAAAAAAAAATTTTCTCAGGAGTCAGTGAAAAATCTTTTTTTATCCAGAAAACTGTTAGACAAAACCTACAATTACCAGTCATAAGCAAAATCAAATTAGTAAGAAATGTCAAAAGATAAGGAACATGTTAGAAAGTTACCGTTGGTGCGGTGGGATCAAGACTAGAAGGGCTCTGGATAGGTGCATCCTCAGGTAGGTTGTGATGAGAAGTTGTCAGTAACAGAGGCAACACAGGATGACAGGTGATGTCATTCACTCTAAACCTGTGACCCGAGGCCCGTGACGCATGTCCTATACTCAGCACCTGTAATATTAAAGACAGATTTTATAGCATAATATAGGTTTGTGCCTTATTTTTTGTAACATCCTTATTAGTCGTACAGTAAAAAAATAACAAGAAACAAATCTGACTAGATTAAAAAACGAACTATTTTGTTGTATTGTAATGTGTTATTTTTTTTCTATCTTAGTATTTGCTGTTTGGGTGTCAAATGAAAATAGGAATAGTTCAAGAGTCCTGGGACACCCAAGTAACTATGTGGGTCCCAAAAAGCTTTACCTTATACACTTTTAAAATTAAAAAGAATAAACTGACTGGACAGAGTGGTTACGTTCAAATTATGTGGTTACGTGGTTAGGTTGCGTTCAAATCTGCAGCTTGCTGCTTCAATTCTAAGAAGAGTATTTTAAGAAGTTTCTGCTTTTTGTCATAAGGCTACTTATTAATTCACAATGTGAGTCATCATTACATAGATGGTAACACAATTGGACAAGTTGTGTACAAAAAAGTAAGAGAAATGTCTTGACATAAAATTGCTGGGTCATAGCAACCATAATCAGAATCTTGCCAGTCTGGTCCTGAGAAAATTCAGTAGCCTTACAATGTTACAAAACTATCCTTAATCATTGGGCTGACTAAATGGTAAAGACTAAAGAAACAATTGATCTCATTCAGTAATAGCGCAACACACAGCATCTTACTCAATTCTATGCTCATCATTAACTCATATCTGGGATAAATTACACCAATTGTGTCACCAACTCAATTGAAAATTGGTAATATAACTAACAACCATTGAATGGATAAATCACCTGTGTGAACTTAGTCTTATCAGCAAACGTGAGCTGCCACAAGTTGAGAGTGCCATTGCTGTGTTTAGTCACCATGGACAGTGTGGGGCTAGGCGGGGCTGACAGCAGGTCGTGCAGTGTGTGTGCTGCCTCTGTGCTGCCTCCACAGCTGGGCGGTCCATCTCTGCTACCCTCCCCCCCACCAGGGGTCGCCCCTTCCTCTCCTTCCGCGTCTCCATCCTCCTCTACCACGCTGGGTAGTGGTGTCGTGCCTGCCTCCTCGTTGCCACCCGTAGATACTGGTCAAGAAACAAGGGTAACGTAGATTAATGAGTGGCCTTTTATGTGGAGAGGAATTTCCAATGTGGTCATCTAAATCCCCCCGCCGCAGCAAACCTGCAGATTAAGCGAATTTCCATTTACCTGGCTGGATTTCTATGAAAATATTCCCTAAAAAATTGTCAGATTAATTTTCTATTTAAAAAACATTAATTTTAGTGAGTAGGCCTACTTAGGTTTGCTGCTACAGGGAAGATATTGAGGTGTGTTTTTTATTGAAATGTTGATAGCTTAGTATGAAATAAACAAAATTTCCAAATTTGGTTACAACAGTTTATTTATTCTCCGTAAGAATAACATGGGAATTTTAAATATACATTTTTTTAAATTATCTCTGTAACAGTTGCGCATACAACAACACTTCAATATACAAAATTATTTCTTTTTTTAATCTTTACAAAATGGTTTTGAGGGAAATTATGAAATTTTGTGTTTTTTTCTACCAGGCTATCCAAAAGTGAATTTAAACACTACTAAATTGTTTCATTTAGTATTTATTGATTACCCCATTATTATTAGGTACTAGCTGGCCCGACAGACGTCGTCCTGTCCTAATGTGGTTTTATGTCAAATGCTCGATCATTTTCAAGATGAGCTCGTTCACATACCTCAATCACGTCCTGGTTGAAGTTTGTTCGCTACGCTCACTCACCTTCAGGTTTAGCTCGTTCGCTACGTTAATTCGCCTTCAGGTCGAAGTTCGTACGCTGCGCTCACTCACCCTTTGGTTACAAATTAACTGTTGTCATAAATTAAAAAAAATAATAGTGCTCCACCCTGTTGGTAAACCTATTAACTTTTTAATGCTATTGAACATCACAGAATCAAATTGTTTAGTTGAACCAGCTGTTAAGATTCTTTAATTCAATTTAAATATGAGTACTCATAAGGTTAACATGGGAAACTCAAGAGCCACTGGGGCGGAGCCCTTTTGACGGATCTGCACCAAACTTCACACGAACCATCCTTGAATAATGCTTAATAATGCCTGAAAGTTTCATTACAATCTGTTGAGCGGTTTCGGAGTCCATAAAGGACAAACATACATACATACAAACAAACATACTGTGACGGGTAGTCAACAAAAATTATTTTCTAAATTTTGGGATTATATTTCAAAAGTAAAAGACCTGGTAAATGGATTTCACAATGCATATACCAGTGTCAGAACATTGGCATTTAGTAGACAGAATTCTTGATGACACGTAGCTTGCTCAATCGACCGACCCACAAAAACCGTAGACTTAGCAATTGTACTTTGGAGAGACTGAGGTTGAAGTTGACCGAAAGGAAGACACTTGGCCCCAGTCATCCACGGGGGCACTTCGCCGGTCTCCGGGTTTTTGGTAAGACGATTACTTTATTAATATTTAACTTTAGAATTTTTGTGATTGTCCAGGCTAACTTAACCTTTTAAAGTCAGTGATTGATTGATACTAATCGTAATCAATTTTATAATAATTGATTTCATTTATAATTTGTGTGAATAAATATAGTGACTATTAAATTCCTGTTTGAATATATTAACGTGTCAAAAAGAATTATAATTATTAGAGTTTTATATAAATTTCATTTGTTTAGGCCTACTTAAATAAAAGGAGCCTGTAATTATTTTATCATCCATTTTTATTATTGTCTTTATTATTATCTTTATCATATTGTCCATCCACTTTATTTGAATAATGATTAAACATTCTTTTACCTCTCACTAAAGTATTCTTATTATTTTAATTCGATCCCGGTTACGCCCCCGGTCACAATTCCAATCGTGGCAATACATTGGATTTTATATATATAGACTCGCCTTTAAGTCAACGTTTACAGGTTGTATTATATGGCCAAATCTTAATTCAGCCAGGAGCTCAGTCCTGTGGTGGCCAGATATGAAGGGTTCTACTGTAGGCTATAGTAATCAAAGATATAACAACATTCCAGACTTTGACTCACAAGGGCCGTTGGGTGGAGACTTGGTGGCCGCCGCAGTCTTGACCACGTCCCTGAACACCAACTGCAGCAGACAACACGACGTGTGGTACAGACACACATTGTTGGACATGGTCATGGCATCTCCCAGAGGGAAGGCGGTGGGTATGCGGGTGGAGAATGACACTTGAGCCTGACGGAACGATCCGGGGTGGTACTCGTCCAGCCACTCCACCACCCTGGAACATACATGAGGTTACAAAACCCCTGCCTTCTGACCTGACTGATATCACAGAAAAACCTAATTGTTATCAATAATATTGGTCCCTTCCCCCCCCCCTCCCATTCCTGATGTATGCTGTTCTCTTCATGGTCTATTTATGTTAATGATTTCAGATACATTTGATGTGTTTCATGTACTAACACATCACTTAAAAAAAAATTGTATTTGTGTCCGAATGATAAACCTACCAATATCTGTTACTACAGTATTATTATTTTGGACTTTTTACTAATATCCATAACTCAAACAACTTTGTATTTACCAGATGAGGAAGCTGCCATCGATGGGGTGTATGGCGAACAGGAGGTCTGGGTTGTGATGCCAGTCTCGCAATAAAGCCTCTATCTTAACATCCAGTGAATCAGTCATGTGACCTCCTGTAGGTGGTCCGGCCGTGTCAGTTGCAAGAGAGTTGATGGATGTTGCGTTGCTGTAACCAAAATAAACTGTTAACGCCTGTAGTTTAATATGGTGAGTTGATGGACAGAACATACTGCAAGTCTCCTAAAACTATAAAAATAGGTAGGCTTGCTGCACACCAAATCCAACACACCATGATAACACATTTTGACAAAAGTAATTGATACAGTGCAGGTAGATTGAAACTAAAAAAAAAAAAGTTGGTCCATGTCCAGGGGTGTTTGAACTTGAAAATTAAATTTAACAACAGGTTTTTTACTGTCATATCAGCTTTTTTCGTTGATAACAATCAGATAGCTTTGGGCAGATATATACAGTTTTTTGGTGGCGTCACGTTGTAGAGAACTTTAGAGACGAATGGAGTAGTACTCATCCTCAAGCAAAAGTATTGACACCACAGCAATGTTGAGTTAATCACACGAGAGATGATTATCATGTTACAGCAAACTTGATAGATGATTTGGATCACGCCACAATCGTGCTACATTATAGTATTACAAACTCATTGACTGTTTTCAGGTTTTCACGGTTGAGTGGGTAGCATGATGTCTGATGAAACGGATATCATTTTCCATGTATCCATGAAATCACAATTTCATCACAGAGTAAATACCTTCAAACTTTACAATACACTTTTTTAAATGAAAACATTAAGCAAGCACTATTGTGTGAGATTTCTCACCTGAGCGTGTGATGACTACTGTTGGGGAAGCTGCTCTGGCCATGTTGATGCTCCTCACTACTCTCATCTTGGGAGACTGACTTGGACACTTTACCTCCAGTCGTTCTCCTGCCTAACAGACAAATCAACATTACCTGGTAGGAATCACCTTTGGATTCAGCTGTAAACGAATAACAGAATATTTTATCACTTGGGCCTACAGTGACTCTTTTAGACCCGAGATCAAGTTTTACGATCGAGGCAAAGCTGATGATATTTTTCGTCATATTGCACCATTATTTGAACAAACTATATTAAAAAACTAGAAAAGTTTTCAGATAACCTCTCAAAACTACTTCTAACACAAACCAATTTAATTTGCTATAGGAAAAAAGCAGTGGTATGTAAGTGATTCATAAGTCTTGTCTATTACGATCATGTTCGTGTACATTATACTATCAATATGTCAAACAATTTACAATAAGGCAACAATTAACTACAATCGATTGATACATATAGGCACTTTCGATAGATGCAATTGTTTAAATCAAAATTTACAACTGAGTTGACAACAGCTAGTTTTTACTCCTTAGCTAGTAAAAATACTACTTTAGACCCGCAACGCATGCATTAAAAGCGGCCGTTTTTGCTGCAGTATGACAAAAAAATATTTGCGATGAGCTGTTTGTTACATCAGTTTAAAATTGCCTTTTTTATCAGTTTGGGGTGAAAAAATCCAGATTATATTAGAATAATTTCAAAATCTTGATGGGTTTTCACTCCAAACATGTTATGTCTTACAAAATTCCCATGATAGTTTAAATTAGCTATTTATATCTTATAAAGTCAAAAGACGAGGAAAATAAATTGCTAAATCATTTGAACTACTTGAAGCATGTTAAACTTACTGGGTGTTCTCTCCCCTGCCTCAGTCTCATGATGTTCAGAAGAGTCGTGGTTGCTGGTCTCAAAATGGAGTCCTTCCTCTTTCTCCACCACTTTCCTGGTGAGTTCCTGCAAACAAAACAAAACACTAGTAAGCAATTATTCTTTTACAATACGAATACATGCAAGATAGTCACATCACTAAATTTAAATTCTATAGTTTCCAGATTATTTGGTTGAATTAGTTTTGTTAAAATTTCCATGTGAGTAAACTAAAAGTTTTTGTTGAGTATCTAAAATGGTGATGTGGCATCTGAGAAGTATGTGTAGTCTGAGGAGACTGTGGGCCATATGTTGCAGAACTGCATAGAGGCAACTGAGATGAGGAAAAGCACCCTTGGACCACGGTGAGGAGCAGACGCTTACCTCAGGAAGTTTTGCAGGCTCTAAAGCTGTCAAGATGGTTACAAAAAGCTCACCTTAACAAGGCTTCGGAAATGAATTCAATAAAATGTTAATCATACATCAAAATGTAAAAGTATGGTATGCCTTGGCTAAAAGTTCATTACATAACAGACATCATACTTTAGCCAAACAAAACTTTTAGAAAGTAAGTACGGTAACATGCAGTTACCTGTAACAAACTCTCAGCCTGTAGAGAGAATGCTGTTTCCTTATTGTTCAGCCAATGAAGTACAAAGTTGGGTTCTCTCTCTGGGTCTCCCGTCACTAGGCTCGGCACCAGTGGTATGTCTGAAATATATTTTTGCAATGACTGTCCTGGTTGATGCATGTTACAAGTACGGCTATCTTAGAAGAACCAAAAGTTGAGGAATATGCATGCCACACATTAGTGATGGTCGAATCCAGGAATTTCGAATCTCAAATCCGAATCCTACAAAAAATCGAATCTCAGGAAAAGGAATTCAATTCAGGAATTCAGGACAATATGCCAGTCAAAACATTAACTGACACTCTTATTGATGTTCCCACAATGTGTTAGTCTCCGTTCTCACTTAAAACTGAGACCTCCATAATTTGAATTTTATTTATTCTGACCTCTATAAATCAAACTCTCAATATTTCAAACTTCCCATGATTCAAAATATATCCTCTGAAATTCGAATTAAGGAGGTTTTACTGTACTTTCATCTTTATTCTTGAAAACCTCAAAAGTGGATGAGTACAATTAGGGGTGTGCGAAGCAGCAAAAAATTTTCGATTCGAAGCAACGATTCGATTCAAAAGATTTTCGATTCAATTCGATGCAACTCGATTCAAAGCAATACGGTATTTTTCTATTCATAATTGTCAATTGAGTGGATTAACAATAATTAAAATTTATCACATTTGTGTAATACAAATTTTTGTTGATGTGGTATTAGGCCTATTCATACTTACATATGAATTTTAGGTGAAAAAATATTTATTTTCAATCATATGTATTAGAATAACTGCTAGAAATACCAGTGAGCTGCTTTACTTGCCTATTTCATAATTTTTACTTGGAATTGGCTCAACTGCAAGAAAGAAGAAAATATTTTTTTTATCAAGACACTCATTCTCATTTTAATAACTGTTTAAATAACTAAATAGGTACCGGTAGCTAAATTACAACAAATTTGAATGGAACTTAATATAAAAAGACCATTAAGAAATAAATTTACATATCACAAGTTTAGGGCCTGTGGACCGGCTTCAGGACTGCAAGCAAGAAGAAAATAAAAATAATATGTTTCCACCATGCAACATGTATCATTCATTCCCTGCCTCCTAACCTCCTTAGTATAATAACCTCACACTTACATTATTTGTTACATCATCATAAATAAAGAATTATTATTGGCATCAGTAGGCCTACAGCTTTACATAGGCATTATTTTTATAGGGCCTAAAATAGTAATAGGCTAGAAGCAACATGTCAAGTGGAGAACTCATTGAAGAAAAGATATTGTGTAAACTAATTTCCTATAAAACTCAAAAACAGTAAATAACATACAAACATTGTTTATGGTATAATTAATAAGGACTAAAAAATGCATATAATGTCATACAGTAGTATAGACCTACGGTACTGCAAGAGATTAAAATCCTAAAACAACTGATTTTGATAGCTAATGAATGAAAAGAATTAAAAATCCATAAAATGAAGCTAAACAATATCACAACTAATTAGGTAGGTACCCGAAAAGTAACTCTTAAATAATATATAGAAGATTAAAATAATATTAAATCAAGAGACAAGAAAGTTAAATGCTATCTTCTAGTGCCCTTGGCAACACAGGTCAATGTTTTTAAACTACCCTCAATGTTTTTGGAACAGCAGGGCCTTTTTCTCTTAAGGAAGGGTAGTAGTATGTCAACAAAAACAATGAATCAGTCTCACCAGCCAGGCCCGGGCAACGATGTGTGAATTCAAGGTCATAGACCCTCCCCCTCCCCTCTTACACCACCCGGTTGCTACCCAGTTGCTTCAATTGCTGACAAAATGCAAGTGATGAAACAAGGAAGTAGAGACAAAGAAATATATTTCTTTATTCAAAAACACAAAACTGTTAGAGATTATTTTCAAAGAAATTAATTCAATGTAATTTGTGAGTTGTAAATATTGTATTGGATCTTAGAAATATATTTTTTTAACACTATTTAACCAAGATACAGATCTGTTCACTATATCAGATATTTCTTTTGTTTATAATTTATTATGTAAAATACTAAAATATATTTTTAATTAGGTATTGAATGAACAATAAATGATTATACTAGTATGTCTGGATAAATAGTCTTTCTATTCTTTTGACTCTGTTTTCTTTGCAGTGTTGCGTCACGGCTTTTGTCTTGTTACTCTTATCAGTAGACGACTAGACCTGGCTCTGGCTAGTGGCAGTGCGGCAATTGCTCTGTTGTGTCTTTATTCTTAAAGGTCGTGAGCCAACTTAATTTTTAATTCTCATTTGAACATTTTAATTCCTCTGTAATAGATATAATAATATAAGAGTGTTTCTTTGGAAATAAATTATTCTTTTTTTTCTTTTGCCCCAACAAAAATTCGGGGACGGGGACCGACAAACACCTAACAAAAATACCAAATGTATCAGTCTATAACATTGATCTTACTAGTTAAGTATTAACATTAAGTAACAATTTTTCAGACTTATTTTTAAAATGATTTTGGAGTAACCTACCTTGTTTTGGCTAGGTTCACAGTAGTAAAATATTTCACACACTGCTTACATCAAGACAAAAAACAAAACCTCTAATCATTTGCAATGTCAAAACAAAAAAATATAAAACAATTAAAGCTATATTTAATGCAAAGAATGTATTAAATAAGAACGCCTTCGTAAAGGAAACGCAACAGCAACGCGCTCCTGTATTGCGGGTATTGCATTGACTTTCTGCAGGCGTTTTTCGTATATGGATACTGACTCCCTCGTGAATCGAATCGTTTTTTGACCACCACTGAATCGAATCGCGATTCGATGCATCGAATCGAATCGAATCGAAATTTCGATGCATTTTCGATGCATCGCACACCCCTAAGTACAATACAAGATAATGTGGCTCCCTCACCAGTCTCTGCGTTGATGCTGGCCGCCAAATGGAAGTGCAGTCCCGGCGTAACGCCTGTACCATGGAAGCCGTAGCTGTGGAAGTCGTGGACACTGTAGGTGGAGGGCAGCGTGGGTATCGTCTGGTTGGACACTCCGTTCAAACTCTGCTGGTGCTTGGCATGTCTCCGGATGTGGAAACATGTTCTGCAACCAACATATGGCCCAGTTATCTACCTCTTTTAGACGTCCATACAGTTCACGGAAAAGCCTTGCTGTGACAATATGTTGAAATTCACAATTTTTTGAGTGCAACAAAGTGTAGAAAGTGGAAAGATAATAAAGGGAGTGCTAGAAAAAACAGTAGTCTAGAGACACATACAAAATGCTGAATATCACAAAATGTATCTCTATTTAGTTTATTTTTGACATTAGTCAATAATTTAAATTTATTGTTTTAATGTGATTGTCTTCATTCTTTCAACATATACTGAATAATGTGGCTTTAGATCTTTGATAAGGTGATATTGAGGCATTGTCAAACTTTACATCCAATGATAATTCCAGAAATAGTTATCACAAGAAAGTCGTGATCATTTTCTGTGTTTTTAGTAACATCATGATCATATTTTTCACATCACAATAACACCGTGGTCATTTCCATGTATTATTAAAGTTCAGGTAATTTTTGAGACTTAAACACCTCAATATTAAATTATTCATTTACATTTTTGAATTCGATAAGATAACTATTACCAAGTCTGTTTATGAATTAATAGTATATTTTACTATTCAATTGTCCTCTAAACAACTAAATTAACTTTAATAATTAACTTAAAACAGATCTTAATGGCCCATTGCCAATCCTATTTAACAAGTGGAATAGACAATGAGCTAAAAACTGTGAGTTAAATAAATGGTATTTTTCTGTAATCAGAACAAGTAAAAAAAGAATCAAAGTCAACATTCTATTTTCGGGGTCAGAATCTTGAAATTGGTCTATTACTAACCAAGATCTAACTTAAAACCGAACTAGATTCTATAGATATAATGTATACGTACTTCATGTGTTTGAGGCGTTGCATGAAGCGATGTTTGTGCCGATGAGTGCGGAACTTGGGGTTCTGAGCAGCCAATGGATCAAACTGATGCATATTGACCAGTCCGTCGTCTGGCAGTACAGTCTCTACCCACACTCTACATATGTTGTCCTTACATGATGTCACCAGCATGTTGGACACTGACCCTCTGTAGACAAGTGTCAATTCATTAGCAACTTGTACATACAATTATGTAAGGTTATATTTTAGGTACGGATGGCTCAATTCCACCGATTCTTGACTTTGGAATCAGGATCAAGAATCGACCAATCAAATTTGAAAATAATAACGACACCTGACACATCTGTGAAGATCGCATAATCGGAAAATAACCGCTATTGCAACGATCACGCATGACGACGATGATGTTTCCATGACTGCGGGAACGATGGATGTCTACATCAGTACGGGAGATGATCAGAATTTCGCCACAATTGCAAAAGACAACAACAAAGTCCACATGACTGCAAGGTAATATTTACTTCCAAAAGGAGAAATTCTTTGAGATTACTATGTTTTAAGAGACATTTTAAATTTTATTTATTATGTTAGATGGATTTTGTCAAATTTTTACATTAGGAGATAACATTTTAATACAATTCACTTACAGTAGAACTCCAATTATCCGAACTCCAATTAACCGAATCTCCAATTATCCGAATCGCTTATTTCAACAATTTTAAAAACGTAAAGCTACAGTAATAAGTTTTGCAAAATATCAAAGAATTGTTATTAAACACATTTAACCAATTTTGGACTTTGATGGAACACTATTGACTTAATAACATGTATAGAACACTTGTACTGTGAGCATTGTAAACTGTAAAAATGTTCTGATTTAAATTATTATTAATTAAAATTAAAAGTTTACTTAGTACTGAAAATGAGGATTTTTCTTTAAAATTCCCGGAATTCCAGTAAAACTCCGATTATCCGAATTTTTGATTATCCGAATGGGGTCTGGTCCCTATTGATTCGGATAATCGGAGTTCTACTGTATATATTTACCATACTCACTTGGGCATATACTTGCTGGTCTTACGCCAGGAGAGCTGGGTGACAGCTCGGGGATGTGAAATGTAGACAAAGTTGTAGTTGAGTTCTGTGCTGGCTGTATTCATAAACGACATGCTGTGCTGTGACTCCATACTCTTGGCTGGAAACAGCACTGAAACAACACAAACATTATAACTTGCTGCAAGGAAAAATCTTCCATCTTATTGGTATTTGCTAATTTAGTATATTTATCTGTCTGAAAAGGGGTAAATCTTAGGTTAAAAAAGGCAAAACATTTCTTCTGTAGTATTTTTTATTCGTAATCTCAATAGCTCACTATTACTGAAAATTTTTTAAATTATAACTAGAGCTCGCCCTGTGGTCGAAAACTCGACCAAAAGTATATATTGTGCAAACTTCTCTATTTTCACTCCACACTGTAAATAAAACATGTGATTGGGATTTCTTCCATGTGTTTTGATTTTTAACCGACTTCCCCACTACCAACAAAAGGAGGAGGTTCTCAATTTGTCTGTGGCGATGTTTTTTTTTTTTTCTATTTATGTTCACCAATTTCTCTGTGATTCTTTTACCGATCAGTGTGGTTCCACCACCAAAATAACCAGAAGAGTTTCTATTTGGTCCCATATATATATTATGTTTAAGTGTAATATTTGTTTCGGTGAAAAATGCTGAAAACCACAAATATTCAACATTTATTTTGTTTATATTTGTGCAGAGAAGGCAATAAATAATAATAACATTCCTACAGCTGTTAGTTGAAACCATTTGAATGAAGCTACAGACAATTCTTCATGAAGCAGTTGCTTCATATTGATTAATAAGCCATTTCTTGGCATGGAGCATAAATACATTACATTGAAAAAATGCATTTTGTTTTGGTTAATATAAAAAAGGTATTTTAAGGTTTGACCTGATTTGTGTATACAGTAATTTAGTTTTTAGTATTGAATATTCTGACTTATAAAAACATATATGTTTCAGTGAATAGCTGTACGATATTGACAAATAAAGGTGTATTGTGAAATCCAAAGCATTCGTAAAAGAGGTCTAAATATAAATTAAATGTAATTATTACTTACACGACCTATGAAGTGTGAGAGTGCATAATCGTCAATCGTCTTAAAAGGGTTAAATATTTTAATTACTAAACATGCATTTGCAGATGTGGAATGTTTATTAATATTCTCTACCCAGTTACTATATAATACCTAATCAATACTATTATGCCTGCTTCGGAAAGTCCAAGAGGAAGCTATTTGCAATTTCGACTACATCTTGAGCAAACAAAACCACCTACCCGGCTTACACCACGTTTAGCTGAACCAATCTTTCATATGTATATTTTCCAAAGGTACTATACGTGATAACAACCAAGTTTCTAATTTTTAGAGATTTTTTAGTGCTGGTAGCTGAGGAATAACTTTCATATTGTTCCAAAAGGCTTGAGACGTTACTGTATTTCTTTTTATAATGTAGAAGTACACCGATTGCAGGAAACAATGATGTCTAACATTTCAATGTCTCTAGAAAAGACATTTAGTTTTTCACTAGGCCTAATGTAATAGACAACTCTTTGTTTTTTAAGGAATGTCCAAAAATGTTTATTTTTATACCCATTGATTATGTAACCTGAACAGGTGACTCAAGCAGTTTTAAAATAATGATTGTTCTGTGGCACTTTTGATTGTTTCAAACAGTTTTGCTTATCAAAAAACTTCAAGTAATTAATATATAACAAACTATATAGTCACTAAAAATCATGAAATAATTTATTTTTGTAAAAAAATACAACCGACTTCAAACACTCTAAAAAGAATGAAATAATTTCAATACAGTAAACTTTTGTATTAGTCAAGCTCACGTATTTTAAGTCGGCGCGGCCCTAACTGCAAATATGATTAAATAAAATATTGTGTGTGTATTTTGAAAATCAATCATGTATCTGAATAACATAAATATATAAAAAACATACTGAACTGTTTTGTTTATATATCAAAGGAAGTATTTTCTTGTATTTTATGTTTACTTCAGAATAAATGCATTATGAAAATAACACACACAAAAGTTCTATATAAATAGGAAAATAATTTATTTTGATATTATGATAGGGAAAAGAAGCTAGTTTACTATTAAAACGTTACTTTTCCAAGTTAGAAACATTTAAATGCATAATAATCTTTTTAAAGATACTTGTTAATACCACTATAATGCCGATCTTTGGTTACTGTAATCAAATAACACCCAGCCCATAACTATGAAAAGACATGCAGATTAACACCTTTAGTTATATAGATAGTCACCTGCAATATGGACACCCTCTTTCAATTTTGTATCAAAAATCATCATAGAGCCGACTTAAACTACGTGAGCTTGACTCATACAAAAGTTTACTTTATTGAAATTATTTCATTCTTTTTAGAGTGTTTGAAGTTGGTTGTATTTTTTTACAAAAATAAATTATCTGTTTATATTTTGTTTGCTTATTTTTTAGCCTATTTTAATTTATAAAGGGATTCTGCACATCTACAGGCAAATACCTTTCTAACAGTATGCATAGATTTTCCCTGCCGTGCACAGGAGCTGAGAAAAAAGGTTTTCAATAAACATACTTGTACCGGTATATTAAATACATAGAATTAGCCCCATGTTAAATCTCCATAAGAAAAGTTGAATTTCCATTTTTGACCCAATTAACATAAATATTTTCAAAATACTTACAGTGTTTGTTCTCGAACCATATCTTGACCAGCCGGTCGTTGCGGCCCGCAGTGGCAAACAATGTTCCGTCTGGACTGAAGGCCATGTGCAGTACAGGTGTGGCGGGGACACAACGCCACACACACTCCCAGCCCCGCTCTTCCTCTTCCCCACCAGTGGGGGTAGTGGGGCCCATAGCATCCTCCCCTATCTCAAACGTCACACCACCACCTGTTCCAGGGCAACGACTCATTACAACTTTGAACCTACAACTGTAATTTATAGCTTACCTAGACATTCCACTCCCATAATAAGAATAGGCTACAAGTTTACCATAAGTGCTCTTGCACGTAAATTTCCACAATTTTGACGAACAGTAATTTACAAGATAGTAATTGAAAAACTTGACTTTCGTAAACTTTGCGCCCGTTGGGTGCCTAAAACCCTTTCTGAAGGAGACAAAAACCGCAATCAACAACCGAGGCCAAACAATCAATAAAGATTGCAAAGATTGTAAAGATTGTTGATTTGCGAGACACACAGGAAACTGCGCCGCGCAATACACAATAAGTGCCGAGGCATGCTCACTAAAGGAGTGATTTTCATACATGACAATGCTCAACCACACACTGCAAATGTGACAAAGACACTTCTTCAAGGCTTTGGCTGAGATGTTTTTGACCATCGTACAGCCCTCACCTCGCTCCAAGCAATTTTTATTTGTTTAACAATCTGAAGTCTTTTCTTTGTGGTCAGCGGATAAACTGCGATGAAGAGCTGAAAGAATGTGTTACCTTTTGGTTAACTACACAGACGGAAACATTCTACGAGGAGGGTATACTCAATCTTGTACCACGTTATGACAAATGCCTCGAAAATCGCAGGAGTTAAGTAAAAAAATAGTGAAAGAGTTGTAGATTTTTTTTAAATAAATTTCTTTCCTGTATCCGTACTCTTTATTCCTTTATTTTAAAACAGAACTTACTTTCCGAACTTACCTCATGTATAAATAATTTAATAAGATTTAAAACGTATTAAAATGTATATTAAACAAACAATGGATTCACTTGTGTTTGTATCTTTATACTATATTTATAAAAGATCTTTTGCAGGCAGTTATACTTTGGGGAGTAATATTGTAGATGTGCAGTGGTAATTCAAATGTAATAATAGTGGAAACACTGTGTAAAAAACCCCATAAACATTGCAAAAGTGTCTCACAAGCAAAAAACATAGACAATACTCTAATTTTACTCTTGCTTGATAGTAAATGACCTGATGTTAGAGGTTGATACATTTTGGTAAGTGTATTTAGACAGTTCAAATTCAGTTGGCAAAATGATTTGTTTGTTTAAAAAATATAAACCTAGTTTTTGCATCAGTTGTACCTTATTCTTGCAATCATGAATAAATAAAAAAAACTTTTAACATTGTACATAAAATGTTGTCAAACAAAAGGTTAAAACCAATAACAATCTTTTGAAACAACACTGAAGAAATCAAATGAACTCTCAAACACGTTCAAGCTAAAAGTATAAATGTAACGACACACAACAAACTTATTTTACATTCTCTCGCCATATCGCTACAACAGTTAGTTCATTTCCAATTTTAAAATATTAATCAGCACTGACCTAGCAGGAACACAAACAAACAAAATTGTTAGATGAAAGTATCACATGTTAAAGAATTGAGGGAACTGGAACTATAAAACAAAATGGAGCAGCAAATTGGTACAGTCAGCTTGTTAATAGAAAGCAGCGTCTGATGAAAAACTACTTAAAAAACACATAGTATTAATTTGCATCCATAGCTTCTGCAATAGTGATGGGCAGTTCATTTCACCTTAAAGAATAGGTATATAAAGTTACCGATTCAGAAAAAAAGAGAACATGATCTGACTCATTTAGATTCACATATTTTTTCCTTGCTAACAAATTTAAACAAGTGCATTTAACTATTTATTTGTGTCCTTCGTCATTCTAAACGACAGTCCAAACAACACCTGTCTTGTAACTACAAGTAAATCTGATGTTAGAAACCATAAATAACTCATTCAATGCAAAATTCTTTTTATGATTGCCTTATCAATGTTATTTAGTTTTATGTCTCTTGCAACTCGTTAGTCAACTCGGTCACCATTTCACTGTCAGTCAGCCAGCCAGTGGCTTAGCAGTACAGGTATTGCGCAGATGAGCTACACTCGTAACACTGTCTTGAACGGGGTTCAGTAATAGCACAATGAAGAAAACTTCATCCAGAATCTATCTTTCTCAAAGTGTTTGCTTCATAAAACACTGGAGTTTAGATGCCTTCAGATTGTACTGTAGAGAACAAATATGAACTCATCATTTTAGTAAATAATTTTTATGAGTTGCAATTGGCGGTGATGCACTAAAAAATAACTCATGCTACTATCATTCATAGAACAAGTTTTCTTTGCATTTTTAACCCCTTGCAGTATATTGCCTTCTGAACTGAAATTCTATCCAGAGTCTAAAAATAACTTTAAGTGGGATTAATGCCATTGCAGAGGTATTACAAGGTGGCTTGGTAAAAATGTGTCAACTGAATTCGTTCATCAAGAACCCAAAAGTGGCTTGGTAAAAATGTCCCCAACTGTATTCGCTGATCAAGCGCTGATGAGGTTGGCTTGGTATAAATATATCAATTGTATTTGTTCATCTGTAACCCATAAAGTGGCTCGGTAAAAATCTGTCAACTGTTCTCATTGATCATGCGCTGATGAGGTTGGCTTAGTATACATTTGTCAACTGTATTTACTGACCAAGTGCTTATCAGGTGCTTATAAATGTGTCAACTGAATTTGTTCATGGAGCACCCATAAGTTTCCTTAGTAAAAATGAGTCAATAATATTCATTCATTAATCCCCCTTGAGGTGGCTTGATACACATTTAATGAGTCAACTTTATTTGTTCGTGAAGCGCCCATCACTAATCTAAACCGACATACCAATGAAATTTGTTTTGAAATGAAACATTTTTGAAAAGGCTTCAGACCTTCAAGTGATGCATAGCAAATATGCGATGCAGGAATGAAAATCAGCAAGCATGATAAAACAGTGGCTTCCTTACCTCTGAAGGACTTAGTCCCGATATTGCCTCTCCCTGATATAAAAAATAACATTTTAAATGTGATGATATGTTTAGGGTGTAGAGAAATAAAAATGTTAAGTAAATATGTAAGTGTCAGAGCGATAAATAATCATTAGGCCTAGTTGAAATGTTATTAAAATGTCAAAAATATTGAAAAGCAATAAAGAAGATTTTGTTTACAAAGAAAACAACCATTTTTCATTCCATATTCAAAAAAACACAATATTGTTAAAAAAGATTTATGTCATTAATTCATTTTATTAATACAGTGTGTTAGGAACATTGTTTTTTTTACAGTATTTTAGTTCAGGATCATCAAATCAACCTTGTTGTTTTGCTTAAAATGTAATTTAACAAAAATCAAAGGTCTAAAAGTCTGTCTTCATTAACTGAATGATCCACTAACTTACAAAGAACAACTAACTCAGTGTATACGCAGACAAAATACTGTAGTATTCTTGACTTTTTCTCACCCTACATTATCTTACTAAATCACAACTACTAACTAGATTTGCGATTAAATATTCTTCACTAATTAGTGTCAAATCTATTGTTCCCTTTATATGAAGTGTTATAATAGATACTGTTTAAAATCAAACAAGATAACTAAGTGTTCATACAGATATAAATTGATCATGTGCTCAAATGACAAATACTTTACTTGACCCAACAAACTATAACGGTTGTCCATACATTAAGGTCTCCATCAAGTACAAATGACACCAGCATTGTGTTCCTTACTTCGTCCACACCTACTCTAGCTGGTTCCCACTCTAATGCGAGGGTTAATCTCGTCATACCAAAAACTGAAGCTCCCATTAAATATGAATCAAATTATGTAGGTTTCTGTGGGAAGGGAGTCAATCACATCGAAGTCCATTGTTGACGGACATGAATCGGATAGTGTTTGGACGTAGAAAATGTGCGTATTCATAAACATGTGCACGATGTTTATATGGGTGAATGCCAGCTGCTGTTTTTTATCTTTCAATTGAGGAAGTGACAAAACGTTGGGGAAATTTCACACGCAGATTGCGGTGAGACTGTACTGAAAGGTTTCTGAACTTACAAGGGACTTCTCCCAACCCCGTTGACTTACGAGTAAATAGACCAATCAACAAGCAAAGTTTCCTCAATTTTGATCACTGCTTTAATGGAAACTGATAAACATTGGCTGTCAGTCTTGTTGTACAATTGTACAGCCTTCTGGAAAATTCCTAAGACTAATGCACATTTCCCATTTTTAATTATTATTCTTAATAGACATCCGTCCACTGGCAATGGATTTCAATTAGAGTTTAATCCCCTTCCCACCAGAGCATATTTTAAGGGATTTCCACTGGGCGACAGTGGTGCCGGACTTACCGGGGGGTCTGGAATACCCCCCATCAAAAAAGGGGGGTCCTAGCCCCCCCCCTCCCGGAAATTTTTGCATAAATTTTAGTGAAAATTACACATTTCTAGGCCTATGTATCTTTTAATGAATTTTTTCGATTATATTTGCTTGTAAATAGTCCATTTAATCTCACTTAATTACGTATTCTAGAAGGTTGTAACAGGCCAAGGCTCCCTTCACAACCTCTTAGGCCAAAATCATAGCTCAATACTCTAAAATATTTCCATAATGTGATTTTTTAAATTCCAATACATTTAAAATTTGAATTATTAAAAAAAATATGCTGGCACCACCCATAGTCACTGGGCGACAAAATCCCAGCAGTTAACATGTTATTTTATGCCCTGCTTCCCACAGAATGTGTTTCATACGTGGTTGGAAAGTAAATTTTTACTCACATCCTTTTTGACTATGATGAAACTAACTGTTGCATGAAGTGAGGAACATAAACACTGGTGTCACATTTGAATGAGCTCGCTTGGCCATGACAGGAGCTGGATGGAGACTTTAGTTACGGACCTTGCAGTCACAAATCACACAGAAGGTATGCCTATTAAAATTATTGCTATTTACTTAATAAGTCAATATAATAGAACAATCACACTTACCAGAGCCTTCACAGTCTTCATCTGATATAAGTGGAGTTTGCTGGTGCCAGAGTTGTAGTACATCTCCACCAGTCAACAGTCTAGTACCCTCTAGGTTCCATGACAATGCTGTGATGGAACAGTCTGTTTGCCATGCACCAGTCTGTACCCATCGATAGTCCAATTGCTGTAACACAGATGGATAAGTATAATTACAAGGTAAAGTCCCTCTGCTACCTGTTATTTGGTACCATGAATATCAGTAATTATTGCCGCAAAAGGTAGACAATCTGGTGATGATACCACAAACGTCTTCAAAAGTAGTAATAATAATTAAGAGTGTTGGCAAAATTAGATATGTCTCTGTGAACAATAGAGAATGTTTCTATAATATTTTAAAAGAACAAGATGAAATCTAATGCATTCAATTTATTCTCCATTTCAATCACAACTCAATTATTATTATTATTTAAATAAACTTAACAATCAGAACAAAACAAAGTCTTTAACATCTGGAATGCAACCAACATTATAAAATCAAATGTTGCTTCTTGCACAATTAATATAAACATATAGGCTATTACAGTTTCAATACATTTTGCAGGAACATTGTCATTGTCTCTTTACTTTTCATTTGTCGCAAATGCTGCAACATCTTCATCATCTCTAGTGATAGTAGCCAAAACGCCAACATCTTTTCTGATCACAGTTACACAAACATCAACTGTAATCATGGTGATCAATTTAAGGAAATTTTCTTAATCCAAATTCCCGCTATTTGGTACAGGCATAGATAAAACATACTCCCTTACAGCTGAAGACAATTTTATTGTTAGTTCTGTACGGTTTATGTAGAGGTCGTGTTTTGTTTACAATTTGTTTCCCATTAATACAGTCATTTAAAACCTTGTTTAACCTAATAATACGATCTAATCATAAACAATAAATTGTCCCCTAGTTATTTAACCAAACATTAAAGCACAAATCAAGAAACTAACCCTAAAATAATAGAAACAAAATTTCGTCGACACTAGCGCCCAGTGTGTACATGAACTAGACATGAAAAACGAGCTTCAAAATTTACAATGGGATGAGAAGTCTACTTGTGTTGTTTAGTCTATGGTACAGGGTTCAGTTCCAGTTTGTTTGGAATAGCGGAACTCTACATTTATTTGTTCAAGCCTCAACTAATTTATTCCCTTATTCATTATTCACTGCAACTCGAGTAAAAAATGCATGATTTTGAGTCTTGAGATGGTTCTAAATAAGTTCTTAATGTGAAAGGATAAAGGAATTCAAGATTATTTTGGGTTAACTGACGAAAAAGGTAAAGTGTGGAAATCATATCCTTCTCCTAAAGAGATAAAGAGGAGAGAATCTAGAAATTGTAATTGTATGTATAAATTCACATGGTTCTTTATTCACAAAATATGGAATTGAAAACTTCCTTTGATTAGGAAAATTACCTTATAAAATTACATTTTTTAGTATGTATAAGTTCACATGGTTCTTTATTCACAAAATATGGAATTGAAAACTTCCTTTGATTAGGAAAATTACCTTACAAAATTACATTTTTTAAACACAGTAAGAAAGAAGACAACTGGGGACACTGTTCTTCCCTTCACTTAAATCTTAGTTTCTGTTCTGAAGATTTATGTTTTGGTGCTTTCTTAACAGATTATTAGAGAATTAATTAACAAACAATAACTGGAAAATCTATAAAGGCAGTAAAATAGAAAAATGAAATGAAATGAAAAATGCTGTATCTTTTCAAGCAAAGTTAGAGACAAATGGCTTTCTTACACTTAATCTGACATCTATCTATCTATCTATCTATATCTATACTATTATAAAGAAGAGGTGGTGTCTGTGTGTGTGTTTGTATGAGCTAATCTCAAAAACTACTGGTCGGATCGGGCTGAAATTTGGCATGATGATAGCTCACATTCCCGATTAACATATAGGCATATTTTTATCCCAAAAATCCTTCGGGGCTCCGCCCCAGTGGCTCTGGAGTTTCCCATGTTAACCTTATGAGAAATGGAATTAATGAATCTCAACAGCTGTTTCAATTAAACAAGTTGGTTCTGTTCTATGATGTTCAATAGCATTAAAAGTTACAAGGATTACCAACAGGGTGCAGCACTAGCACTATTATTTCTTTTACATTTATGACAACAGCAAAAGGTGAGTGAGCGTAGCGAACGAACTTCAACCTGGAGGCGAGTGAGCGTAGCGAACGAGCTAACCTGAAGGCAAGTGAGCGTAGCGAACGAGCTAACCTGAAGGAAAGTGAGCGCAGCGAACGAGCTCCAACCTAAAGGTGAGTGAGCGTAGCGAACGAACTTCAAAAAGAACCGAAATTTCTTAAACCATGTCCTCACTCATAACTGCTATAAGCATTTGATACTTATATGCCAACCCCGTACGAAGGACGGGTACTCTGCTAGTATATAAATACAAAGAAATAAAAAATACAGTGTAACAATTCAATATTTTCACTGCTATTTTTCAATAGAATAATTTAAAATTTTTACCATATGTTTTTATTTTTACCAATATGTCAATCTATCAAATCTTGTATAATATGGCCAAACAGACGGTATTTACTCAGGGGAGGTATAGAAGAGGCTACGATGACAGCTGTGGGCTTCTTATTAGCTGAGGGAACGCCATTACCGTAACAAAACGATCAGTACTCATCGGCTTCGGTGGTCTAATGGTTAGCGTGCCGGGCTGATATGCTGAAGGTCCTGGGTTCAAATCCCGCTCGTGGCATTAACTTTTTGTCCAAGATTTTTTTTATTATCAGCAAGTTTGGTTGGTTTGGTTCGGTTATGACAGTTTAATTTTATTATTAAGTCATTATAAAATTTTAATAGAGCAATTTCTAGTTTTATTTAATAAACAGAATTATTTTTTCTATTAATAAACTTTTGTTATATTATTTCATTATCAGCAAGTTTGGTTAGTTCGGTTAGGTTATGATAGTTAAATTTTATAATTAAAAAATAATAAAATTGAATTTGAGGCATTTATAATTTTATTTTATGAACAGAACTATTTTTGCGATTAGTAAACCTTCTTTGCCAAAGTACTCTCTACTACAGCGCTGTTCACGGAGGAATTTTGAACTAATGCCTCATTCGTACCTCCCCTAAGTCAGACCCCAAACAGACCAATAGGTAATTGATTCAATACAATATATTATAGAAAATTATCAAATAACCTAATTTCATGTAAATATATAATAGCCTATAACTTTTGTAACAAAATTGCTTCAAATTATATATAATTTAACTTAAATAACTTTCCAAAATTCAATTTTAGCTCTCTAGCAAATGAAAACTGTTATAATATATGTGTGAACAGTGGCCTACAATTTTCTGTGATAAAGTCAGCATTGGCATATGGGAGTGCAACAATGCATCAAACTTGCCTCACTTCCAAGAGAGCTGAGCTAATGTGAAGATGTAAATTGTAAACTACATATTTTAATATCAAAATTTTATAAAACAAATACCTATATTTGAACAAAAATTAGTGAAATTTGATTGAAGAAGATCCATCCTTGTTACAAACATTAATAACTACAACATCACGAAATTTAACTGTGAAGAAGACATACATCAATTTTGGTGAGATCACTCCAGTAGACATTTTCTTTCCTTGGAAGCCATTAGAACATTTTTAGGCCTAACTTTGAACTTTTGTATCAGAATTTAAAAGTCAAGAAACTAATAGAAGCTTATTCAGAACTTTAATTAATTCAACCAATCACAAAATAATTTGAACCTATTTTATATTTCAAAACAAAATTTTAATTAGGCTATAATCACAAGATTAAATTCAAACGCCGCTCGATCACCCCACCTGAGATAAACCTGAGATAGATCCATGCAATATAACACCTGAACCTAAATTAGAACTATTGTTATTGTAATAGGCCTAGCCTAAAGCTTTTAAAGTAAATTCATTTCCCACTCTTTGTAAACTTTATTGTGAACCCTTTCTTTTCTTTTACCATCAATTTTGTATTGTAATTAAATAAATTTAAGTTTAGATACCCTACTGCACAAAATGGAGTTTCCATTGTATTCCTAACTTTAAGGGTGATTACAACAGTGATATTACAAAAGAGGGACTGGAAAGAATGTATTATTGAGTTAAATAGTTTGTTTCCTCATGTGAACCAGACAACAAATATATATTCAATCCCAACTTATTTCCCTACTCCTAACTTGTTATATTGCTCACAGTAAAGTGTAACCAAACCAGCTAAATGAAAATCATAAAACCACTATTGCTCTCAATATTAAGATGTGCACAAAGTTACTGCCCTGAAAAGCAAACTTTGAATAAACATTATAGGATTTCCTACATAACTATACACAAAGGTATAATTTTAAGAATGAGGGCATCAATACAGGTGTTAGTTTTTTAGCGAATTTCCCTATAGGGAAGTAGCTATTACCGTAGGTGGCACGGTAAGACCTAGACCCGGGACCGATTTACTTTTTCATTTTGATGTCCCCAGAGGCCAAAAACACCATTCGTTCAAATTTTTATATATGTATATATATATAGACATATATATATATATATATACGTCCGTGAACGCGATAACTTGAGTAATTTTTGTCCGATTTTGATGAAATTTGGTTTAAAGGTGTAAAGCGAGATAAACTTGAACGAGTTCGCGAACCAGCACGATCGGATGATGAGAACGGGGCTTTACGGGGGGTTTTATGGGGTAAAAATTGGTTTTTCTCACTTTTGACCCTCAAAACACAAAATTTTCTGATTTCTCTTTAGACCTTTTTAAAGAGCTTAAAAAAACAAATAATTTAGTATATAAAAGTATTTTTGTTCGATTATTGGTAACGGAGAAAATTAAAGAAATTGTAAATTTAAAATTCCCATGTTATTCTTATGGAGAATATTGTCAAATGTTGTAGTTTGCTTGTTTATCGATATATTTTGATCAAACTTGGCAAATTTATTTATTTTGTACTAAGCTATCAATATTTTACTCAAAAACACACTTTATTAGTTTCCTTGTAGCAGCAAACCTAGGTACTCGTTAAACCTAATGTTATTAACACGTTCACTGCTAATGACGCACTTGTGCGTCATAAGTATATTAGCAGATATATAATACATGATGTATATAATTACATAATA